TATATATATATGAGATTACATTCTCTTTTTGGGGCCGAGATGACGCTTTCATGGCCCCGGCAAGCACTTTACAGTGGTGCCGCCTCTGTTGGGCATGGCCATAAATCAGACTTTATGTGTTGATGTCTGAGGTGTTCTCAACCCCCCTCCACATATTAGCATTGGACACTCGGCCAGCAAGGGCACTACTGCTGTATCCGGCGCCTGTCCTCAATGACGACAACTCTGGTCCCGAAGAGGATGCAACCTTATATTCAAGTAGCTTCGAGTCGGACAGTGCTCTGCTCCCATCTGGGTGATGAGACTCTGATGTTCGCCTTTTAACGTCCAAAACTGATCCCATTTGCTGTTTGGGCATGGTATGCTCCGGTAAGGTTTAAGGGCAATATCTATTTTCCCCAGTTTTTCAACAATGCCTCTCGGAAGAGATATTTTAACCATGCTTTTTGACACCCCCCCCCCACCCCCCCCCCCCCCAGCTGGGCCATCGGTATGAAACCCAGCTCTTTCATTTTGGGGTGATCCCGCGTGTCCAAGGGATCCACTGAAGGGCCAATCAGCGTCCATGTGTCTTTTTGACTTGTATTATGCCAACAATGGTATTAAACTATTTTCGTGTCCATTGATCTTCTGTTGGCAGCCAGTAAAGCAGCGGTTCTCATTCTGTGTGTCGCGACCCATTTGGGGGTTGCGCGACCCTTTCCCAGTGGTCGCCTTAGACCATCTGAAAACACACATGCTTTACAGTTAGGAAGTAGCAACGAAAATAATTTTGTGACTGGGGGGATCGCCACAACTTGACGAACTGTATAAAAGGGTCGCACGCATTGGTAAGGTTGAGAACCACTGCTCTAATGCCAGCTGTGAGTCGGTAAACACTACGATGGCCGGAAATCGTTTTCCTCTGAATTCACATTTTTGTTCAACATTCTTAGCTTGGAAAGAATTGGTCAAAATATAGGGGAACTGTTAGATGGTGCTTTTCAACCAAAAAAAAAAACCTGATTCATAAGACACAAAATGAAGAAAAATTCTGCTATTGGTTGTCTCAGGGACTTTATTTATTTAAAAAATGCTAGCAAGAACTTTGGATTTATGCCAGTTAATAATTTTATTTGGGTGCTGGCGAAGCCAGGTTTTAACTCTGAAAGGGGTGTGGGCTGGGGCGAGAATATTTTTTTATAAGCCCCACTGGCCTAATAAGTAACTTAAGTTAAGTAAATGAATTCATCATGAGTGCATAATATTTTTATTTATTTATATTTAAAATCCTGAAACAGCCAACATTTGGAAAAGATGTATTGAAACTCAGAGGTGATTGGTTGCTTACGCTCTACGAACTCTAGACTAACCTAAATACACATTTTAGGCACGGCTGCAGGTACATTCGAAATATCCCACTAAATGGCATACACGTTGAAATTAGTTTCTTCTGTCACCCATCGATCTACTGAGTGTGTCGTTGGCAGTAACAGTTGTTGTTAAGACAGACGTCGATCTTGCTACGGTCTGCGTGGTCACACACTCACACATCATTAACCTGGCATGGTTCTTTGTGGTCACCTGTTTACAGTTGGTGTGTACATTTATTTTAAAGTTTTTCTGGCAGGGGATGGTTAGGTAAGTTATTTTGTTGGGTTTTTTTTTTCCAATCTATTTTTAGATTGATATAAACAGAATATGACCTGTCGTGACACTGTGTGTTATATTTTGTGATTCTGGCTTTATGAATTTGTTTTTAGTATGCGCCGTTTTTAAAAGAAAATAATATAAGTAGCTATCATATTAGATTGCTTTTAAAAAAAATTGTGGTTTCCAGTGGGCAAGGATATGGATTTAGAGGATGAGACCCCTTGGGCACAAAACTCATCGCTATCGGATCATACTGAAGCCCCGTCCAGCTTTACAATAACAATGACTAGACGGATTTAAAGGTGAAAAGTTTAATCTTATGAGATATTTAAAGAGCATGCTTGGCCCTTTTCAAACAACACCACAACACGAAACTACAATAGGTCCAGCTCACCCTTGCCCTTTGCGTACGAAACTGGATCTGGCACTTGACACCAGCCACAAACCAATAATATGACCTAGTTTCATAACGGAATTATTTCGTTGCGTATCTTGATTTTTTTATTTCTTTTCGTATTGTTTGATTGTCCTACTGTACGTAAGTATATTCTGTACCATGCTATCTTATACACGCCATCAGTTCAAGAATTAAAAATCGAAATTATAACGAGCTTCTCATAGTCAAATGTACACCTAAAAAAGTCTTACCATCAAATACATTCTTTCATAATATCTTTCTTTATCTTTATGAATCAAAATCGTCTTCCCCCCCCCCCCCCCNTCATTTACATACTGCATGCTAGTGTGTAGAAGGATATGCCTACTTCTGCACATAGGCACATTCCGGCGATAGAGTCATGTATTTTCATAGCGTTGGAAGGGCGTGTGGGGGAGGAAGTCCGTCCTGGGGTGTGAGGGAGGGGGTGAGTTTTAAAAAAGCCAGGGGCAGTATTAGCGGCCAACGGCATGGGATTTATTTAATAAAAAAAAAAAAAAAGGTGGTGGTGGCAAAAATTTTGGTTCCCCCTGGTTGGCATTAACCCTACGTTCACCACTGTTTATCTTAGATGATGTATGTGGGGGGGGGGCAGATTTAACCAGATCACTGAGATGATTACATTTAAATTGGTGTGATGCGCATAGATTTCCGTCTGGAACAGCATTTATTCTTCCTTGTTTTAAGAAAACCTTATTCTCTGCTCATAAAAATCTTCTTTAAAAAAAAATAAAATACAACCTCATTATCCTCAAAGCCATGAATTCCAAAATTTTCCAATGAAGCATTTCAACCACCACGGATGGTTCTCTGTCAAAAAGTGCGTTGTCATCCGTGTGGATCAATACAAGGTATACAACGAGCTCTAATGGACATGTTGACATGCTTGGTAAATCTTACCACCGTGCTAGTGTGCTGTAAGCTTACACACAAGGTGCTCAACAAACTCTAATGGACGTGCTTGGTAAATCTTACCACCGTGCTAGTGTGCTGAATTCATACACAACGATGTCTCTGAACGAAAAGCGACACGGTCATTTCGACATATCGTTAAAATTAACTGTCACGTTTTGAGAAAAAAAACAACATATTTTTACAAATAAAATAACCTTTTCGCCCCACAATGTAATTATATTAAGGTACCTAGGTAGAATATTATCCAGGTTAAAAAGAAAAAAAAAACAACAAAAAAACCCACCTGATTTCATCTTGGCTTGGAACCAAAGTTTTGCCAGGGGTCAAGGGAGGGCGCCGTTAGCGACCAAGACAATGAAAATTCGATTGCAAACACGTGCTAATTTTTCAAAGCCAAAATCGCAGTGGTGGATCAACTAGGAGACCAAACGAAACCATATTTTTGGGGTAACAAATCCTGAGGGGTGGCTTAAAATAAAGTCATTGAACAATAATTTAAATATTAAAGAGATTTATTATTTATTGAAATTATATTACCGGTACAAATAAACTGTACTTACAATAATGATTATATGCATAAAGTAACAATGCCAGCATTTAAAGATACTCTTTTTAAAGTTTAATTTTCCATAATAGTTGCTTCTCATGTGTCCTAACTTCTGTAAGTTGTATTTCTCTTTTTTTTTTTTTTTTTTTTTTTTTTTTTTTTTTTTTTTTTTTTTTTTTTTTTTTTTTTTTTTTTTTTTTTTTTTTTTTTTTTTTTTTATTTGTTTATGATTTTTTTTTTTTTTTTTTTTTTTTTTTTTTTTTTTTTTTTTTTTTTTTTTTTTTTTTTTTTTTTTTTTTTTTTTTTAAATTTTTTATTTTTTACCTATTAATACATTTTACCTCAATTTTTTTTTCGCCGAGAAGTGCTAAAGCATTTTTTAATGCCTATTTTCAAAATATAGCCTATATTATTGGAGCTGCCACATTGGCCTGCATCGAGCTTGTTATTTCTCGTCACCCCAAGTCATCAAAAGAAAATAGCTCTGAAGTACCGTCCTTTGATTCACTACTAGGCCTACTGACCGTCCTAATTCACAACTTATTTTGTCCTACTTTGCTCCTTTTTTATAAGAATTATACCAATATTTCTTTTAAAACTGGGTCAGAATATGTAGGCTAAATGCACTATATAATAAATAAGCCACATTAAGACGAATTAAGTATCTCATTATATTAGTTGTGTTTGATGGTAAACAAAAAATATGCTTTGCGTCTTTTAATACCTTCATTTTCGTTACACTTGGACGAATATACCTCCCACTTAACAAAAAAGAAACAAACAAAAAAAAAAAAAAAAAAAAAAAAAAAAAAAAAAAAAAAAAAAAAAAAAAAAAAAAAAAAAAAAGAAGAGAAAGGAAAAGAAAAAAAGTGCCGCCAGAAGCGGCCGCTCCCCCGCCCCTTCCGACGCCACTGCTTGGAAGGCATGTTGTTGTTTTTTAAAGTCCCGTATTTTGTGTTTCTTCCCGCTTACAAAGTTAACATTCTTACCCTGGTGAAAACAAAACACTTCACATCAAACCCCTCAACCCCCTTACAAAAAAAAAAAAAATATTGTTTCACTGGGTTGGCGATTTCCATCAATTTCCAAATATTCCTTTGGATGGGACTTAGCCTTAGATTGTTTAGTAGGAACACAGGCAAACACAAGCCATACAAAAGATATATAAATAAGGATATGAAAGTATTTAAAGTTCTTGTGATATATCCTGGTCGCCCACTACTTGCGTACACGTTTATAATTAGCATCTCAAACAAGGATACTCATTTTGAAAATAATAGCAACAATGGTCTAGTTTTTATTTTTGACACAAACCAGTGATAACCAAAATTATGGACGCTTTTTTTTTGCGTTGACAGCACTTTTTCGATGTTTATTTCATGACATAGCTTCCCATTCAGAATGTAGGCCTGGTACTTCTGGCGCTTTAATTACATGCGGGATCATTAGAAAAAATACCACTCTTTTAATTATTTAATACCACGAATCACAAAAAAAAAAGCCATAGAACTGGAGATTTCTAATGAAACCCTGGCAAATGCACATCTTGGTTTATTATCATTCTTAGAGTGTTTACATTAGTCAAATTAACGTTGTCAAGGTGTCATGGAATTGAATGTGCTCGTATATTCAGAGACAACACATGTTGTGTGGGACTTTGGCCTCCTTTTTTTGTAAGAGGTAGATTTCCACCCATCATCATGATTCGCCTGATTTAATAGAATCAAGAATATCCAGATTTTAGATGATGAAGCATTTTTTTCAGACTTTGTACAAAGGTACCTTTCAATATTCTACATACATCCTTGGACGATTGATAAGCTCATAAGCATAGGTTTCTGTTAGAGCCAGAGATAGACTCACCGTCAAAAGGCGCTACCCACTGGTCCAATCACCACAAACAAACCAACATTGCGTCCAAATGTTAATTCGATGACAAGTGTTTTTTTTTTTTTTTTAAATTTAAATGGGATAAGTAAATTAACTTAACCGGTACATAATATATTTTAATTTTACTAGACCAAAATATTTCTTTTTTGTTATTTAAAAAAAAAGGCTGCTACCCACTTGTCCAATCACCACAAACATACCAACATTGCGTCCAAATGTTAATTCGATGACAAGTGTTTTTTTTTTTTTTAAATTTAAATGGGATAAGTAAATTAACTTAACCGGTACATAATATATTTTAAGTTTACTAGACCAAAATATTTCGTGTTTGGTATTTAAAAAAACAGGCCAAGCTCTTTTGTGCTAGATTAAATGCTTAGTGATAAACAAACAAACTTATATACAAACTAGACCACGCCTAATAACGCTCTTAAAAAGGACTAAGGTACTAGTTGACCTTGACAAGCCTTGATACGACGATTCAAACAAACCTGACTTAATAAAGAGAATAATGTTCCATGTAGGACTACTTTTGTACAAAATAAATTTTTAATGATATTTATCAGTAGCTCTCATAGTGAGAAAAATCTGGACATTTCTGCTCTTTCTTTTTCTCTAGTTGTCTTAGTTGTCTTAGCCACTGTGATTAAATCCGATGGGTAGCCACTGTGATTAAATCCGATGTTGGACAAGAGTAAGAGCAGAAAGATCGTGAGGAACATCTGTTTTGTCCATGGGTCGACGACAAAAATTCTAACCCCGGTTACTAGGTCATTACTCAACCATGTGATATTTTACTGCGGCTGTGAATTATCATTAGCACAATCAAATTCACGATTGTTGTTATTTACATTATAACTCATTGTTAATTCGATGAAAACGTAATCCATTGTGTCGTTACACACACAACACTCTCTCCCAGCAGCAAGCCCTTTATAGTTTATAGCCTGACTACATGGACAGATTCCCCCAGGTAAAATAAGCCCTGCCATATGTAAGATTGATGCAGTTGTTCCTGTCATTAGACTTGACATCATAGCCCCGACCTTGACACCATAGTCCTGGCCATGTGATTCCACTCTCACGGATAAGCTTGTTATATTTGACATGCAGGTAATATGACCGGCAATGGTAGTGGTTTTTTTTTTTTAAAGTTGTGTTTGGGGTAGGGGGTGAAACTGTTGAATCTCTCAGAGCAAAAAATTTGGGACGTTTGCTAAGGCCATACATTTTTTGAATATAGGCTGAGCCATCACGTGACTTTTGGAGGCCTCATGTCATTTTTCGATTTTTATTTTTAAAAATTATTTTTTGTTTGTTGTAGCCCTATTCTTTAAAGTTGATATTTAATTATTTTTTTCCACATCACAACTTTGGGCCCCTTACATATCCTAGGCCCCTCTGCAGTCGCAGGGGTTGCAGGGCTCACACTACGACTCTGAATATAATCCTAGTAAAGATTTCATCCCTCTCTCGTTACCTTCTATAACGTCATTTATATCTCAATCCTTTCGTCTAAATTAAGTTTTTACTTTTAATTCTAAATGTCATTTGGGGGCAGATGGTCGGGAACTATAGAAGAGCTTATCCTTGTTCCAGATTCTTATACTAATGTATCCAGAAAAGTAGAAATGATGATCGTCTGAACCCCACTTTGAGGTTTGAATGAATTTCTATAGGCCAACACATGTCGAACTATGATAGGCTATATATATATATTTTCCCAAATTGACGACAGCTAAAAAAAAAAAATAATAACTAACTAAATAGAAGCAATCAGACCAACAAACATGAGAACCTTTGCAACAACAATACGCTGAAATAGTTTACTTCCTTTTGTAATACATGCTGCACTTTTCCTGTAACGCTAATTGGTACACATCGCTGTATACAGTCTGAGTTGTGTTTAAAATCCTGGTGTGTGTTTATGGTTCTCTGTCTAGACGGACTTCGCCTCTCATGTATATTTATTCATGCTTAAATGAACTAAACGTAAGTTAACCAAACAAATCCCTAAACACGTTGACACCTTTGCAATTGTGTGTATTTAGGAGTGGATTTTTAAAAAATAATTATTACGTTGACGACATAGATCAACATACGTCATACGTTGCCGAATATTGACTAATGATATCGAACAAGAATCGGGTTATCTGTTTTTCTGAAAACGATAACCGATTATTCATTTTCAGAACTTTTTCCCCCCAGGATATTATGAAAATTGTGAATATAAAAAAAGAAAAATCCAGCTTTTTAAATATAAATAAAGTAATAAACCAATAGTAGTATATTTATTTTTATTTATTAAAGAAAATACTTTATTTTGTATTGAAGATGCTGTTTAATATATAAAATTCGCTGACAACAGCTCCCCACTCCCGAAAAAAATTATGTCAAGTATAATATTTATTTCTTAACACACGCAAAAAAAAAAAAAAAAAAAAAAATAAATATAAATAAATTAATAAACCAATAGTAGTATATTTATTTTTATTTATTAAAGAAAATACTTTATTTTGTATTGAAGATGCTGTTTAATATATAAAATTCGCTGACAACAGCTCCCCCCTCCCGAAAAAAATTATGTCAAGTATAATATTTATTTCTTAACACACGCAAAAAAAAAAAAAAAAAGTACAGCATCGCGTTTCCATGCACATGCGTTCCTGCATGACTTGATGAGTACTGATTGCAAAACTAAAAGCCTAACCGGTTTAAATCCGGATTTCCAAAAGCGATAACCACGTTGCCGAAAAAAAAAAGGATAATAACATCATCACGAATCAAGACACGTCATATTTATTTGGTGTATCCAGGAAGATTTATTATATTTATATTTATTAGAATACCATTAGAATAACAAATCACGCCAGAAGCAGGGGTGCGCTAAGACACATAATAATATGGAGTGAAACGACCACCCTGCCAATGTCTACTGTTACTAAAGACAGTACAGAGCCGTCTCGCATTCATGAGCCAACGACGATAAACAATTATAATTAGGACAAAAATCCGAGGATTTTTATAGACAGACTGCAACAAGCAAGTGAACAACTCATTTCTTATAATGTGAGAGCATTAAAATTGTCGATCAAATTTTATGGTAGGTTTGCATTAAGCAGGGAATCTTTAAGGGAGATTGTAATGAGTTTTAAAATTCCAAGCGTCTACATGTCCGGTGACCAGACGAATAAGTTCTCGAGATATTCGTTCGGCGATGATCATTAGTCCTTTATTTCTTTGTAAAAATTGTGTTAATAAGTGGACAAATAGTGCGGAAGATATTCATTCGGCGGGCATGTCGCTGTCACTCTTTTTATTAAAAATTGTCACTTTTTAACCATTTGTTTATTATTTATGTGAATACATGAAATTAAATTGAAGTTAATAGTAAGTTTGAAACACTTAAGTCAAGTAATAAGTAAAGATACAAATAATACTGTAAAAGTATGTTTACAGTCAATAAATGACTATCATGTAATTGAATACCAGGTATAAAACAAACAAAAACAAATTATAAATAAGATGTGTAATATGCTGTAATATATATTTTGAACGAACAAAAGTTCAAACAATTGTAGGATAATTATTTAAACTTCAACTCTAATATTAATACTATTAAACATACATAATTTATAAAGAAATTAAGGGAAAATGGTCAATGCCGGACGAATATCTCGAGAACTTATTAGTCCGGTCACCTTAAGTTTACTGGACCTTGTGACTGATAACAATTACAGTATTTCCTAACGTTTAGTTTTGCTTTAATAAGTAATTATGCAAAAATGATGGTTCAAAACATTTTTAATTTAACGGTGTATGCACAAACATTAATTTTAAAAGGAGGCGCTCAGTAGTCAATAGTAAGAAAATGAATTCATCTGTGACCATGACCCAATGACAATGACCAATGCCATCATTAATCATGGCCATAGTCATACGTCTATCTATACTATACGACTGTACCATTAGCATAATTTGAGTTTATTTAAGTTAGAGTTAGGATGGTGGTGAGCTCGATGCCTACGGTCAACCCATGGAGTGAATCCGATATTGCTATAAAAATTCAAATTGCCACAGTCTATAACTGTGCTTTGTAATCATGTAGAATGTAGTAGTTGCGTAGTGAAGTGTAATTTATTGTCATGTCATGGTGACGATGACTATACAGTATACATAGGAAAGTAACACTTAACAGCCGAATGTGGCGAAAAAAAGTTGCACATATGCTTGATTTGTTTTTTAATATGAGACTGAATAGGTGTTATTACACGTTTCTTAATTTTTCAGATCTAGATCTAACTGGGCCACTACCAAATAACTTTCGAATCGATGTTCAAAAAGTATAACGAGTTAGTTGAAGCCAAAAGAGGTCAAGTTCATCTAGGTTTACAACTCGGGAGACGCCCACCTTACGAACAGGTTTCATATCCGGGTCAGACTATTTCTCAAACAGAAATGGCATCATCAGATCTGTACATGAAAAATGTCTCAGTGGAAGAGGTTCTAGCTAAAATTCGAGATGAAGTGGAACACGAAGGCCATGGAGCTTCTCATGTTTTTGTTATCTTAGGAGCATCAGTAAGTTTATAATATTATAAAGCATTTTATTTAAGCTACATTAGCCTTATTTACCACTTATGCTAACAAAGTTCAAATTGTCATCGTCATGGTCATTATGTCACTATTCACTATGTCATTATGGTCCCATTCATTTGCTTGCAGTGGCGAGTGGTCTGATTGGATGATTTTTTTTTTTTAAATTATAATTGGTGGTCATAAAAAAAAAATAAAAAAATGCGTAGGCCTAACTTTGCCTTAGGCTTATAGTTAAACTTAACTTCAAGCTTTAACTTTTAAAATAAGGCAAGACTAAGAGTAAGACTAACTAAGCTGAAGTAAAGCCACAGTGACAAGTGACAAGGAATAGGCCTAAAATGACAATGATTGAATATGAAGGGCCTAGGGTCATCTACACAGGTGGGGGGACAGGGGGGGGGGTGCAGCCTTTGGTTAGTCATTGCTTCCAATCTGAATTAGGGGGGGGGATATATAACACCCCCCCCCCCATCTCCCTTTTGAATGTTTCTAGGCAACAAACTTATATGTGAAATAAGACAATTATAATTAAAAAATGGGGGGGGGAGGGGGGGGGGGGTGGGGACTTTGGTTGGTCATTTCCTCCAATCGTAATTAGGGGGGGGGATATATAACACCCCCCCCCCCATCTCCCTTTTGAATATTTCTAGGCAACAACATTATATGTGAAATAAGACAATTATAATTAAAAAATTAACTAAATATTTTTGTTTGGGGGGAGTATTGAAATAGTTGTCACTTAGGCGGGGAATTGAACTCCAACCTTCTAACGCAAGACGAAGTATGGAATGATATGTGTCTTGACCTCACAGTTCACAGTCTTATTTTAAGACTTATACCTATATTAAAAAATAAAAATTATAGGCGTAATATTATTTAACGTAGCATTATATGGTTTTACAAATTTAATATTTTTTAAAATTTGGCTCATTAGATGAAAAATATGTAACTAAGGATCGTAAAACCAGCATACAAATGAAAACAATACCAAAGCTAATGATATTAAAAATTACAATTTAATTATACTATTAGTTGATATTAAATTACAAAATCAAATATACAAAAAAAATATAAGCTATTTAAACTTACAACACAGCAAGTGAAAAGTATAATATAATACTAGAAAGGTACAGATATTAATCTACACACACACTTTGTGAAAAGTCTTGTTAGGGCTCGTGTAAGCCTGCCAGTCACATTTTACCATACTATTTATTGTGAAGGAGTCAGAAACCCCCATAACAGAAAATCTAGAAATTCAATCATCAGAGAGCATTTTCTACCTCTTTCTACTTACTTATGCCTTTTTATCTGCCTGGAGCATAGACCTACAAGAGTTTTCCATTCCAGTTACTTCAAGGTGTATTCCATACTTTTTGTGTCTGCCTCTAGCTTGCATGTTCATGAATTCTTTGGCCTTCCTCTCTTCCTTTTTCCCTGCGGATTGTTAGGGATTGTCTGGTGATGTTATGTGGGGAGTTTTCCAAGAATGTGCCCTATCCACCTCTATCTTTTCCTAATAATGTTTCCAGCAATAGGATCTTGGTGTGTCCTTTCCAGTGAGTCTTTGTTGGTGATGATGTTTGACCATTTGACGTTCAGGCAAGTGTTTGTGAAGGTCTGTACTTTATGCATGATGCACACAGTTTCGGCCCCATAGAGTAAGACTGTTTTGACATTTGTGTTGAAAATTCTGATGTCATGCAGAGTCAGCTCCTATTACTGCCCTATTTTCTTTAATAGCACAAATGCTGTCCTAACCTTTCCAATTCTAGCCCTCTCATCAGCTTCAGGTCCAATGGTGCTTCCCAATTAAGGGAAGACCTCCACTACTTCCAGTGCATTTCCTGCCAAAGAGATACGCTCTTGGTTAGCTGAATTTACCTTCATGATTTTCTCTTGCTTTTCTTTATACTGAGTCCGAACTGTGCTGAAATGGTGGCTACATTTTTTTTTCTCTGCATTTGTTGCTGGCTGTGGCACAGAAGTGCCATGTCATCTGTTCCCAGGGTGTCCATTGGATCTCGTTCCTCTTTTTGTCTGTGGAAATTATTCATTATCCAGTCAATAACAAGGATAAATAGGTATAGGACCAAAGACATCCTTGTCTGATTTCTGTTTCCACTTAAATGGGATCTCTGAGTCTACCTTCTTGTACCGCCCTGCATGTCATTTCTTCATAAGAACTCTGAATGATCTTGACTAGTTTTCCTGGTACCCCATAGTGCCCGAGAAGTTTCCACAGGGCTTGTCAGTCCAGACTATCAAAGGTCGTTTGTATTCAATAAAATTTAGGTATGGGGGAGTTCCATTCAATAGACTGTTTTACAATGATGCATAGTGTTGCAATTTTGTCTGTGCTTGATCTGTTTTGGAAGAAAGCCTGATGATCTTGTAGCTATGTATCGACCTGGTCCTTCATTCTTTCTGTTCAAAATAATTCTGTTAAAGATCTTTCCTGTTACCTCTATGTAAACCTTCTGCAAATTGTAAACAAACTATCTCAATCAGGGGTAGGGGAGGGCGCCTCCAGCATGTATCACCAAGTTAATTGGTGATGTTCAAGGATGCATCTTACAGCTCAACACCATGCAGGGTGAACAAAAACTTGGTCAACACACAGGCTATAACACACTCAAATTCATTTTTTGAATAATCACAGAATTTGATAATTTAATTTGCTGAAAAAATGTGAAATAGTATAATATCAATATTATATATTTTTGAATAGACAACAATATTCTAAAAAATTCAACTGAAAATTTTTTTTCATTAAGTTTATTCATTGAGAAATCCCGAATTAAATACCAATACTATGACCTAGGACTGGCATGAACCACACTGGCCACAGTACAAAATTTATAAAGTCCAAGGTCTAGGTTGGGTGGCTTCCACCACTCAGAGAGTGCGGAGTGGGGCAATGGGCACCCCTGGGCCTTGTCACCACTTAGTTAGCCTACTTAAACACAGTAGTACAGGTAGTAGTAGTTAATAATAATTTATAAGTTGTTGGTCCAGTAGTAGCCTATTTTGAGAATTTTTAAGTTAGACTAAAGTTGACTTGAGTTGGAGCAAGTGCAAGGTTTTTCCAGTTTCTATATTTGTGTAATTTTAATATGTTCTGCACCCCTAACCTGCCTACGACTACGATCCACCATGAATTTTTTGACAAAGTCTCCCACCCATTACAAAGAGACCTGTAGAAATTATGACATTAACTTGTGATTCGGTAACTGATAATACATAAATAAAGTAAATTTTTAAAAAATGTTTGGGCCAATCAAAATGAAGAAATATTTGTAAAAAAATATCTATCACAACTTAATCTGTAACAACTTCTCTTGTCTTAAAATCACATTTCCTCACACCCTTTGAAATACCACTTGTGGCCATCCTGATTGGGGAAACCCTGAACTAGAGCCTAGTTAATTAAGTAAATCTGTTATAGTTAACAAATTGTAAGACTTGTATGATTGCATTTCTTAGCAATGATAAGGTTAAAACAGGAGGAAATGCTCCAGACATTACTAATCTGTGATTACTTTGAAAATTTCATACATTTTATGTACCGGATGTTCTTTATTAGGATTTTATGAAAGCTGCTTACAATATTTCTCAGACTCTGTAATTAAATGTAATGCTTCAGTTTAATTTTAACATGTGAAAAACAATGTAAAATGTTTGTTTTTTTAGACTTTATCCTCAAATCCCACTCTGGATTTAACCAAATTGTTTGACTTTTCAAACTCTCCAACCACATATGTACATAAGCTCTACGGCCAGGCATTAATCGAATATGCCATGTTTAAAAATGAGGGTATTAGGACAAAAGTTCAAAACAATAGTTATTATGAGTTCATGTTTGTTATCTGTTGCATACTTCTACAACAAACTATATTTAACAACTTCCATGCTTATTTGGTGACATGAATACACTTATTCTTTCAGGGAGATTTAGCAAAGAAAAAAATTTACCCTACTTTGTGGTAAGTTTGCTCATTTATTCTTTTTGCTACAGTTTGTCCAGTTATTCAGATTCAGATGTCAAATGTAAATGTCTTAAGAGTTCCAAATATTCTTCATGGAATTTTTTTTTTCCCTAATTATGATGATTCATCTAATTTTTCCAGTTTTTTTTCAATTACATACACTCTGTAATTCTATTAAGCATTACATTCTTGGCTTTTATTTATTTTTAAAATTGATTAGTCATAAGTTGTTTGTACAACATTTTTGTGTGTCTCATTTTATTAATGCAAAAGCATCATATATATAATATAAAAAATTATTGACTTAAAGTTCTGAAGTGAAACTTGAGCTATGTACTTTAAATTCAGAGGCTTTTAATATTTCTAAATAGCTAATGCTTTTATGGGAGTATATGAGTAATTATTTTGAATTGATTGGGAAGTCTGGGACGTCTACAATGTGCTATAAAGCATCATCACTGATTGTGCTATATTTAAAAAATAATTTAAACAGCTGCATATTGTGGAGTGTTCAGACCTGGGCGCGACAGGGGTGGGGGGAATCCCACAGCAGGGTAACCGACCAACTGACCAAAGGTTCTAGCGTATCAAATCCCACAGTATGGAGACTGACCAAGGGTTGTTGAGTAGCAGATAGCACCGTGACGATGCTATTATGAACGCTTAGACAGGACTAATGGGAGAACTCAGCCACACAGGGAAGCGGAAAGTCAGGGAGAGCTCTAACTGATAGGAGTAGAGGACAGAATAAAAGAGCAAAGACTATAACCATCCAAGTGTTATTACCTGATTGTTGCCGAGAGTCAGACTGAACGAGGTTATCATCCAGATAAAGTAGTTAGAGAACAGAGACGACTCAGGTTCTCTACAATGGTGGCAGCGGTGGGATGGTAACGCCACAGTAGTCAGAGAACAGAGACGACTCATTTTCTTTACAATATTGGTTAAACTTATGCTTACCAAATAACCAAAAGAATGACATTGTTGGCTTGATAGAATGCACACCCACTGACAATGCTGACAGCCTGTGGATCTGGTTTGTACATGTGACATAAATTATATATATATTTGTGGTATTGCCCCATCTTTATGGTTGAATATTTTTGACCACAAGAGCAATATGTATCAAGATTTTGTAATTATGAGCCATGGAAGGGCTTTCAGAGTCTTGTATTTTAGTGACTGTACTTAGGATAATTATGTTTGTCATGATCTTACATTTGTCTCTGCTTTTTTTTATCAAGGTGGTTATTCAGAGATGGACTTCTACCACCAAAGACTTATTTTATTGGGTATGCAAGAACCAAGCTAACCATTGAAGATGTGCAAAAGAATTGCTTGCCATATATGAAGGTAGTTTAATACATCAATACGTGTCTTCCATTGGTAAAAAAAATATTAATTTAAAGGGCAATGGGGGGGGGGGGGGGCAAAAACAAATTGTGCAAACTTAAAATATCGACCAGGGAAAATGTATTTTTAAAGTTCTTTGCAATGTCTTGTTTGATTATCATTTTTAGCATCGATCATACCTTTCTTGATTGACCCAAACATAGTTCTCATTGTTTCTAATATTGTTATTTCTTTATTTTCGCCTTGAGGCTAAAGAAGATGAAGCTGGAAAGCTGAAAGAATTCTTCAAACTGAATGATTACGTCGCTGGTAGCTATGACCAGACACAAGACTTTGTAAAACTGAATAAAGCGATTGAAGCCAAAGGCAGCTCAAACAGATTGTTTTACATGGCTTTGCCTCCTTCAGTATTTGAACCTGTGACTCTCAATATAAAAGCAGTTTGCATGTCAAAAGGGTGAGCTATTGTAAAAACAATAATTAAGAATTTAAAAAAAAATGCTATCTTGAAACTTTGAAAATTTTTCAGTGTAACTATAGGTTTAGAGTGTAATTTACAATGATTACTTATAAAATATTAGTCTTAGGCCCTTTGAAATATAGTATTACAGCAAGGATTTTATTATAAACTCTGTTTAGATCCGTTATAAAAGAAATTTGAAGGACACAGTTTGCAACTGGGTTAGTTTTGTTTACAGAGACAAATGGACCAGAATTGTTGTGGAGAAACCATTTGGAAAAGATCTGGAAAGCTCAAACCGACTTTCAAGCCATTTGTCAGCATTGTTTAAAGAAGAGGAACTGTATCGCATTGATCACTATTTGGGGAAAGAAATGGTCCAAAATCTCATGGTACTTAGGTAGGCACAGTTTTATCATTGATAAGCCTTAAGTGACATCAAAAAATAAAAGTTAGCTAAGTTTTTATTTTTTTAATTAGAAAGAATTATCAAGAATTAGTCTCTTTTAGATTAGTAGTAGATATTTTCCAAGAGCTTTAACATAGTAACTTATATGCAACAGTCTTAATATTAAATGCCTATAAAGTATATATATATATATATGAATGAGCTAGGTTCACATAAAGCCAAAAGGGAGAACTTTTTAAGTAAGTTCGGATTCCTAAAAACAATCATAGTTTTTTCTATTATTTTACTGAAATCAAATACATTTAAATGTGCAAAAAAATATTTTAAATCCGCTTTTATTTCAGTAAAAGTTTAAATATTATTATTATAAATTACAAATACATTTAAAGTATCAACTAAGGAACTATTTTAAGCATTTATATGTGTTTGAAAGTTATGAAAAAATAAAATAATTTAAAAAATCATGCTTAAAGAAATACGCAGTAATATCACATTTATCGGGAAAACCCAGACATCAGTAGTTTTAGTGCATCTTTTAGTGCGTTGTTAATATTGCCAAATAAAATTCAAACTAATTTGTTCTCAATAATCAAGCAATGACATCATAGTGTGAATAGCCTATTTTGCCAAAACTCTTAGTTTCTTTAAATTTAATAACTGTGCTTGACAAAGCTGATAATGTATTTTCCCTTTTAAAAGTAAACTTAATAAATACAATTGATTGCTTTTTGAATTGTTAATAAAACACACACACATTTTAGCTTTGAATATTTTAACATTTAAAAAGTTTTGCCTTTTTTATTCCAAAAATATACCTTTATTAAAATTATAACATAATAAATTCTAACCTTTAAATATAATTCTAATAAGAAAATGCAGTTTAAGCCAATCAGTGCAGCGCACTTCCATAGCCAAATAGCATTCACTAATCCACTTATAACTCATACAAATAAGAACAAACCATATGAAGTGCAAAATATGTTAGTATGGGTATGGAAAGGACTACAATTCGGTGAAAGATTTTCTAAATTTATTTAAATCTGGGTGGGGAGGGGTTGTTCACTTTGCCCCAAGCAGCACAAGATACGTCTCAAAATAAAGGAATGAATTGGATAAATAATTAACCCTCTTTGGTATATATTATACATATCGGAGGTAGGATATAGGATGTGTACATTTTTACGAGGATGACAATATATTTAAATCCTATGGTATTACATTTGTGAAAAAAGGTATGCCACTTTCTCTTTTTACAAATATTTATATGTTCATTTTGCTCAAGGCTGCACAAGATACATTTTAAAATAAAACAAATATTTATATGTTCATTTTGCTCAAGGCTGCACAAGATATGTTTTAAAATAAAGGAATGAATTTGATTAATAATTAAACTTCTTGGGTACATAAATATCGGAGGTAGGTAATGGGATGTGAATATTTTCACGTGCATGACAGTATAGTTAACTACTTTGTTATTACATTTGTGAAAAAAGAGATGCCACAATCTCTTTTTACAAATATTTATTAATATGTATATGTTCATTTTGCTCAAGGCAGCACAAGATACATCTCAAAATAAAGGAGTGAATTTGATAAATAATTAACATTCTTGGGTACATTCATATCGGAGGTAGGTAATAGGATGTGTACATTTTCATGTGGATGAAAATACATTTAAATCCTATGGTATTACATTTGTGAAAAAGAGATGTTGCATTCTCTTTTTACAAATATGTATAAGTTCAATTTGCCCAACACAGCACAAGATACGTCTCAAAATAAAGGAATGAATTTGATAAATAATTAACCTTCTTGGGTAAATACATGTCGGAGGTAGGAAATAAGATGTCTACATGTTTATGTGGATGACAATATAGTCAGCTCCTATGGGATTTTATTTATGAAAAAAGATGTTACATTCTCTTTTTAAAAAATGGGTAAGTTCATTTTGCCCAAGGCAATACTAGAATAAATAACCCAATGTTTTCTATATAATAATGGTAAGTCTTTGCGATAATTTCTAACTGCTATTGTAAAAAATCACAATCCATAACTTTAAAAATATAAGGATTTTTACGTGTCTATTGTCATTAAATTTTGAGAGGTGTTTATCTGCTATATATTATAAGCCTACCCTACTCCCTTTCACGCTCCTAAACTACTTTTTCCTCTTCTAATCATGACCTTAAATTACCCAGTCTAAGTAATCACTAATTATATAACATTTGTCAGTAAAGAAGTACATTGATAGACAATTACTACGCTAGAGAAATACTTTAGATTTACCCCTTTTCGTGCCCTTGAATTAAAACTTTTTTTCTCTCTAAAATCAAGATACGTCTCAAAACAAAGGAATGAGATTGATAAATAATTAATTTTCTTGGGCAAATACATGTCGGAGATAGGAGATAAGATGTGTATAGTTTTAGGTGGATGACAACATCGTTAACTCCTATGGTATTCCCTTTAAAAAAAAGAGATGTTACATTCTCTGTTTACAAATATTGGTAATTTCATTTTGCCCATGGTAATACAAGATATGGCTAAAAATAATGAAATGAATTTGATAAATAATTAACCTCCTTGGGTACATTCATATCGGTGGTAGGAAAAAGGATGTGTACGTTTTTACGTGGATGACAATATATTTAAATCCTATGGTATTACATTTGTGAAAAAATTGAAATTTAATTATCTTTTTGCAAATAAACATATGTTTACCAAATAAGAAAATCATTGGCGTTACATTTATATAAGCATACCCTTAAATAACAAAACACAATCATTTTACACACTTGAAAAAGTAATTTTGAAAAATAGAGATTGGTTAATATTTACTTTCAAAAAATGAAAATATAATTTTTATATTTAAAAGTAAAGAGGTGTGTATTTTTATGAGATGAACAATTTTAATTTTTAAAAAGATACTAAAGTCTGTTTTAGACGTGAAAAATGGTTGTGAGATTCTTCTTTAGATAAAATAATTCTTTGTTTTAACGAGTCTCTCATAATATATAATTTTTTTAAAGGCATAAACATGTTTAAAATTTTTTATGAAGATATCAATATATATCAAATTCCTGTCATATAAAATATACTTATATCATATATATATAGTTTTTGATGTAAATTTAAGATTAGTTTTTTTTAAACAATTATTAAGAAAAAAAAGTTGTAATTCAAGGGCACGAAAAGGGGTAAATCTAAAGTATTTCTCTGAGGTAGTAATTGTCCATCAAGTAACGCCTTTAGTGACAAAATTGATATAAGTAGTGATAAGTTAGACTGGGTATTTTAAGGTCATGTTTAGACGGGAAAAATGTAGTTTAGGAGTGTGAAAGGGAGTAAGGTAGGCTTATATTATATAGCAGATAAATACTTCTCAAAACTTAATGATGTTAGAAATGTAAGTAGCATTATATGTTTAAAGTTATGAATTGTAATAATTTTTTTGCAATAGCACTTAGAAATTTACGCAAAGGACCTATCATTATTATCCCGATAATATCGGGTCATTTATTCTAGTTTTTATAGATTAAAATATTTATATTTTAGGGCTTAACCGGATGCAGTTTATTATACCTCATCCGGACATTTTGAGAAAATATCCGGTAGCTCCAAGTGTTTAAGAAAAGAGTTTACTTCTCATTTTCTATATTATTTGCTGGCCTTTAAACAACAGTCCTACAGATTATTGTTAATATTATAGCCCCTTCCGAAAAAAATTCAATCTTTTTACCTGAGTTCAGTCGTCACGCATGATGCTCATTGCTTGACAGCTTTTTTTTTTACTCAGTGCTATTAATATAAAACATGTTTAGAAAGGAAAGGCAGGTTGTGAAATGGAAGCAGCCATACCAGAAGCAAAATATATATAAGAGATATTTACCATGTTTAAAAAGCAAAAATTTCTGTTTAATTTTAGGTTTGGTAACAGAATATTTAGTCCCATTTGGAACCGTGATAACATAGCCAGCATTGTGATCTCATTTAAAGAACCATTTGGTACTCAAGGAAGAGGAGGATACTTTGATGAATTTGGAATTCTAAGGTAGTTTTGGTCAGTTCCCAAAGTAATGGAGCAGAAAATCATATTTAAAAACTTGTTTCACTACATAATTTTATTTTGATCAGTTCTTGACCTTTTGTTTAAGATGCATCATTTTGAAGTTTCTCAACTTGATTGAATAGTTTCTTAATCATTGTATTTTGTTTACCTTGCTCAAATGATCAATTTTTTAAATTCACATTTTTTAACTGATAGGGAAATATGAGAATGAGTTTAAAATTGTCATTTTTTTATCCTTCTTTTTTTTACATCTTTGCTATCAGGGATGTAATGCAGAATCACCTGTTGCAAATCCTAACTCTAGTCGCCATGGAAAAGCCGCCATCAACACATGCTGAAGATATACGTAATGAAAAAGTTAGTATTATTTAATTCAACAATTTTACAGTCTGCCAAATTTGTTATTATTTTTTCTATTATTTTTTTTTTTTTAATGAAGCAATACTTCAGCATTATATAACCAGATGTATTCTGTATTAGGTAAAAGTATTAAAGAGCATTCCACCACCAGATTTGAAAAATGTTGTCCTGGGCCAGTACATTGGTGACCCTAAAGGTTCAGGTGAAGCTCAGCTTGGTTATTTGGATGACCCAACTGTCCCTAAAGGTAATTGTTTTGAATTGTCAAAAGGCATGCTGTAGAAAAAAATATTAATTTTTTTAATTCAATTTTTTGATACAAACTGAAATATTATGTTTCTCCAAATGTCATTGTTTTATTCTAACATACATAATTTTTATAAAATGTTCTCAGCTTGTGTTTTATTTTCTTAATTAAACATTAAGGCTCTGTGACCCCTACTTTTGCAACTGTTGCCTTATTTGTCAAAAATGAAAGATGGGATGGTGTGCCTTTTATTCTCAGGTGTGGAAAAGGTAAGTTCACTTATTAAATTTCAAATAAAAAAAACGAGCAAATATTTTTTCAATGGATAAGTGTTTACATACAAATTGATCTAATCTTAACTTCTTATTAAAATGTTCTTTAATTTATATAATTTTTATCAATTATAATTTAAAATACAGTCGGCTTTACAAAATAATTAAATAATGAGATATCCAACTTCTCGTATTTGTACATTTTTACTTGATTTTATTAAGTGAAATGATTCAAAATAACTATTAAATAAAGATGCTAGCTCTGACAGTCGGTACTTATGGACCAGGATTGATTTTAATTCCAACCCATCTTATCTCTCCACTACAAAGAATATAAAACTAAATGAAGACTTCAGAAATCTCCTTCCACAAAGCAAAATACCTACAATACTACCTTTATCACCTGAAGCTTTCCCTTGCACATAATTTTTGCATTGTTTCTCTTGATAGAAATCTGTATCTGGGGCTTGGACTTGGGTGATATAATTTCAAACTTGCTTGCCTCTTTCCTGGCCCGTGAAGAAATGTTTGGTGCTCTTCCCCCATAAACCATAGGAGCAGGACAGTTTTTTCATTAAATAATTGATGGCAAAACAGGTTTATTTTTTATCCAACCCAGAAAAGCAATAAAATAATTCTAATCAATAATTAACTTATGTTATTTTAGATTTTCCTCCCTGATTTTTCAGCCTTGAATGAACGCAAAGCAGAAGTAAGAGTGCAGTTTAAAGATGTTGCTGGCGATATATTTCCTAAAGGAGAAGTGAAACGCAATGAGCTTGTAATCCGAGTACAGCCCAGTGAAGCCATTTACATGAAAATGATGGCCAAAACACCTGGAATGAGCATCAGTTGTGAGGAAAGTGAACTGGATCTGACATACGGTAGTCGCTATAGAGTGAGGATTGGTTTTATACTTTAAAATAATAGTTTTAGAATATCAAATAGTGTTACAACATTGTTTTCCCAATTAAGATCAATTTCTGAATTCTGATCTATGCAAAAAAAATCAATATCCTTCCATGATTTCAATTTTTTTTTAAAAATAGGCTTTAAAATTTATTTTGTTATTCCAACACTTACAGTTTCAATCATTGTCTTGAATTTTACAATTTTTGTGGTGTAATTTTAGCCCTAAAATAGCTGTTCTGATATTTTTTGTTTACCCTGAACTATTTTCTCCAGGGAGTCAATATGCCTGATGCTTATGAACGCTTGATACTTGATGTTTTCATGGGCTCTCAAATACATTTTGTGCGTTCTGATGAGCTCTTTGAGGCATGGCGTATCTTCACACCCTTACTACATTACATTGAGGAGCATAAGCCCAAGCCTATTGACTATGTTTATGGCAGGTTGGTACCCATTGTTTTTTTTTTCCCTTGTTTCTGTTGTTATCTAGGCACTGGTTTTATTTTTTCAATTTTTTAAGGTCAGATTAGCATGAAGTGTTTCCATTTAAAAAAAAAAATCAATCATCTAAATTAGAGTACTAAATATGCTATAGTTGTTAAACTTCGGGTCGTAAAGTTCTTTTTAAAACACAGAGTTGACTTATTCACTGGTCTGTGCTAGTTTCAATAGAATTTTGTACATTGAATTCGGGGAAATGTTGAATTATCAGAAGTGCTAGTTTACTAATTGGTAGCTGTACTTAAACCCAGATAGTGGGTACACACACACAGACAAATAAAGCTGTTAATGCTTGACTTAAATCTGATACCAAGCCACATGCGCCATCGCTGATTCCTGAGTCCGTTAACGTCTGTCATCGGGAAGACAGGAAACTGATATAAATAGCAGGGATATCACTTGATATTGCAGAATGTGAGAGACTGTCAGTATAATAACACCAGGCATAGTTTAGTATACATTGCAGCGATTGCTGCGAGGTAAAATATGACAAAATTATAAAGATCACAGAGTTTCATAGCCCCAAGTTTTACCCTGGACTTTTCTACGGGTCATAGCATAGTTCATAATTGTTGGTTAAAACTGCACTCGAATTATAGATGAGATTGACTTATATGCACAGTATCTTAAATGCTGATTGCATTGAAGATGTATAAGCATCTTCAATTATTACCGAGTATTACTTTATATAAAAAAAATAAGGACAATATTAGTTGCAGTTAAGTCTTTAGTTGGATACTTTCAAGGCAGTTTTTTTAAAACCCTGATTTAAATGAATTAATTCATACATATAAATAAAATAATTACTAACTATATAACATTTTATTGCCTAGACTATACATCTTATCATTACATTACTAAAATCTATCCTGTCTGAGCATTTACTTAACACATTTTGGAGCTGATTTTGAAAGCAACTGGACTTATTCAATTTTTTTTTTTTAATATTTAACTTACTTTAACTATGTTTTATTGAATAGAAAGTTATATCCTAAATTGTTGCAGCACTAAATTGGTGGCAACTAAATTAACTTGAGTATGGGACAAAAGCTGCTCAGCATGGTGTCCAAACAATTTTTTCCAGTTTACAAATGTTATTTCATATTTGGCTCCTTTTATATCGCACCAGCAGAGTATGCATTTTATCAAAAAAATAAACATTTTTAAATTATACTTAACAATAACTTCATTAATATTTTTAGTTGACTATCATGCTTTGAAATTCATCTTGGGAAATGGAATAATAGGACTAAATTTTATTTATTAAGTCTGAGTTGTAGTTCTAAAGGTCATAGGAAGGTCAACTGCCCCTTCTCTCCTCTCCGCACCCATCATCCCACATTTTCATTCTTTCTTAATACCTCTTTATCTTTGACGATAATTTATTTGCCTTGCTTAACAGAAAAATAGTAAAATTTTCCACAAAATGTCAATTGATCAGAATTTTATTAAAAACACAGTATAAAACAATTATTTAAAAAGTTAAATTTTTAAAATTGTGACAACCTTTTGTTTGTGAGCTTTGAAACAAAATCTTCTCGTTACTTGAATATCTTTTTGTGTTCATTCTTTTTAGTTCTTTAACTTGTTTTTTTTTTTTAAATGTCTGTCTGAATGTACCCATGCTTGCCCATGTTTCTCCCTCTCACAGCCGTGGACCAATGGAATCAGATGAGCTGATGATCAAAAATGACTTTCGATATACAGGGTCTTACAAATGGAGATCCAACAGCATCAGCCCGTTCCCTACTAAACAGATTTAATGACTTTGAGAAACAAATTTTGTTGTTTATGTGTTCTAGACATTTAATGTGATCACTTAAAAGTTGTCTCACATTCCATTGTAAAATATATTAATCCATTTTTGAATGTCATGCCAACTGCCAAATATAATTTGAAACCCAATTGTAGCAATTAAATATATTATGTTGTAGACTCATTAATATTTAAAATGATCTATTAACAATGCTCTGATTTTACAAAAAATGTGAGTTACACTTGTCCAAGTAATTTTTAGTTTTATTACAGTAAAGCTCCAATTTTTCCATCCGATGCATAATTGGGTTCTCTTATTTAAATGATCAATTAGGCATTTGCCTTTTCATTTCTTTTATCTAAATAGATGAGAGCAGATGTGTTTTGTGACAGGTGTTTCCTTACAATGTTATCTATTACTTAAAATGTGTGCTGCATAAAACATGTCCACTTTATAAATAGATCATAATTTATTTGACTCTTTTACTCTATAAGAAGATAACTTCTTGTTCTCTTAATATTTTCTTTACCAGTATGTTTTTTGTATCGAACATCTCAACTACATGCTCCACGTTTTATCTGATGAAAATCCAATTCTTATTATTTTGTTTCACTTTCATTTTATATTTAAGACAACACAATTTAATAAAAATTAATATTGTTTTTAAAAAAACAATTATTTATTCTTTTACATTTTCGTATTTTTTCATCTAGAGAATTTACATCATCAAGATATATTTGATAAATTACTAAGTGTGATATTTTATTGTGTTTATGTTACATTTTGTTTGTAAAGCTTATATCTAAAGACATTACACAAATATTATCTACAGAAACTGGTCAAGACTGAGTTATATATTTCATGTTAATTCAACACTTTAAATTTCATATTTTTATGCAGCAATAGGAATTATTATTATTTTTTTTAAACTATTGTTTGTGTTTAATATCCCTCACCCTGTTGCTAGTAAATAAATGGGACCTCTTGGAATTTTTAAAATCACATTTACCAAACATCTTTTATTTTATGTGCATGTAAAATTTCCAATGATCTCCTAATCTAAATTTAGCCTTGCAGTGTTGCCTTTTGGCAGTAAAAAGATGGAGACCACTGTGATACACCATTCAACTTATGTCTGTTGATGAATGTATTGTCCCACTATAAAATCTGGCACAAAAGCTTTTATATATTCATTGTCCTTGAATTTTTAACAATTACGACATGTCTCAGTATAAAAAAATGGTGATGACTTCTTTCATCAAAATTTGTAAAAACATCAAGTACCTTTTTAATGAAATACAGATTTTAAATAATCTAATTCACTTGAAAATTGTAAATATTTATTTTTACAAATTCCTTCTTCCCTTTTGTGCATTTTTCTTTTTTTTGGTCTTTTGGTAGTATTCAATACCTAAGATCAAGTCCCGTCTTTTATTATAAATTGTAATTACATGAATATTTTCATATTTTTAGTGGGAAATGGTAACAAATGTCAAACTCCCTGAGATTTTATAAAATTTAATTATAGCACAGAAATTAATTTTATCTTTTACATCTTAGTTCAGTTCAAAATTACTAATAGTTTCTTATTTTTTTGTGATTTCTTTTACAAGTTGATTTTCACTCTAAATACTATAATTATAACTTTTTAATGTCTTTGCCTAACAATGTTTAAATGAGAACTTACAATACTATAGAAATTAATGAGAACAGTTCAATTTCAATTATTTGATGTTAATCGAGTTGTAAAAATTTGATTTTTTTTTACCTTAAAACATAATTTAAATTAGCATATATATTATATATTATTTTAGAATTTTCAAGTTATAATTTTGTTGGGCTTTTTCTTAAGCTTAATATATTATTGTTATGCTCAATTAAAAGTTCAGTTTAAATTTTAAAAAAGATTGTTTTTGGTGTGTTGATAAAATGTCATGCAAAAAAATGTTGTGCTGTGTTGTATTTTACCATTTTGTCTTCATTACTGGCATTTAGAAATTTTGAAAATTTATTTTGTATCCTTTTAGAATTTAACACTATATACTGGTAATATAGGTGGGGCGAACAGGTGTGCTGCAAACTCTTTGTGCGGAGGGCCATATTGACAAATATTGGGGGGTGCATGTACATTATGTCTAATTTTTACCTGCCGATAAACATTTCTCTCTATTAAAATCGGTAGATTCGCATTTTAGCATTATATGGCAAAAGTCAAGGACTGTTTAAATAATAGAAAATTAGAAAAAATTTTTAGCAAAAATGTTAAAACAATCATAATGGTACATGAAATTCTGTAAAATTCAACAAAATAACTTTTTAAAAAGTAATTTTTAAAAATTCCTAAATGCCTTCAAGGGCTGCATAATATCAGTTGCTGGGCCTAGATTGCCCACCCCTGATTTATGATATTGACTGTTAAAATGTGAGATTGGGGCTAATCATAGAGATTACTTGTGCATAACAATATTCACTTCATGGTGAGAAATTTATAGATTTAAAACAAAACAATCAACAAATGATCGCAAAAATAATATGAGGATTTGTTCAGCATAATCTAGTCAAGCTTTTTTACTTATTAATTATTTATTTACTTATTAATCATACTATCTTAGCAGTTTCACTGAATATTATTTCCAAATTATTTGATTTTTTAAAAAGTTTTTTGGAAAATGCTGATATATTTGAACTATGAGACATTTTATACTTAATTAAATTAAACTTTTATTACTTGAAAAACTAATATCAAAGCTATTACCAATACATTAGAGCCAGAATGATCATGACATTGATCGTGGGCCCTCAAGATATAGCAGAAAAAGTAATTCCTGTTGGCCATGACATTTTAATGAATTGTTGTTTTTTTAAAAGTTTTTTTATTTTTAACTTTTAATTGATGCTGAATATTTTGTATAAAGTTATATTTGGGGCATATAAAAATACATATTTTTAATAAAGTTGCTGTAAAAAATTTAATTTGAAAAAAAAAACGACCAAATCACTTTATTAAACACAGCCCCAAAGTTTATTTAATAACAACACCCTGTTATAATATTGAACATATTTAAAAAAAATTAAATACTATTTTAAACTTTATTTACAGCCGAGGTCCAAAAGAGAATGATGTACTCTGCCAAAATCTTGACTTCAACTACACAGGGACATACAAGTGGCCATATCAAGGATCAAAGATTTGATCAATGGTCTGTGACATGCAATTTAGGTGCTAAGCCAGATTTTTTTAATTTTGTACAATTGGAATTTGTAAGCTTGTACTTCAAGAAAATAGACTTCAAAATTGTGAGGCTAACATTTCATAAGACGAACTTGGTTGACAGAGAAGAGCAAGTCAAACATACCTATTGACATACCTATTGATTGATATTACGCAAAAAGTACTTGTTACATTACTTAATTGTTGTTACCACTCTAATACTGAAGCTAGTATGCAATTTCTTTATCCTTTTTCTATGGTGATGTGATTTAGAAAAAAATTATTAAAAGACATAGGGGCAAGCATTTCTTTAAAAATAACCAGAGATAAAAACCTAATGTCTTGCCTAACATTACTAACAATTTTTAAAAATAGTTAATTCTAAAATTAAAAAAACAAATAATGTTTAAACGCGTCAAAATTTTCTGTATTTGCTAACAAAACATTGATGAAACACATTTATATATATGGGACACAATTTTACAAGTTTTTAACCATGGTTTGTCTTCTGTTTAGTCTTCCATGATGATAATAAGTAATGCAGTTATTTAACTTATTAAACTCCCCATCTTTTTTCAAACTATCAACTGATTTATTTCTGCTGATAACATATTTATCTTATCAACAATGCCTATTCTTTGCAAGTTATTTAAAGACTTGTGAATAAGAATGTTAGTAACTTGAAACATGCATAGAAGTGAGTTTGGCTGATGTTATAATTTATTTTTACTACTACTACATATTATTGAGACATGTTCATGCTTACAATATTTACCAAGTTTTTTTTAATGATATATTTATTTTCAAGATTTTTTTACTCCAGTTATATAAAACATTTGTATGACCTTGTAACTTACATTTACTCAAAGGACCATAACTATTTTTAAATTATACTGCTTTGTATGTTATTCTTTAATAACTATCTTTTGAATGTGAATTGTAAATGTTTCAATTGATCAAAAGCAACAAGTTTCCAATAGCATTAAAAAATTTAATGTAAACAATCATTGCTATGATAGTAAAGAAACTGTTAGAAAACACAGCTCAGCTGGTACAAAGTAATATTGTTGTTTTTTTGGATATTTAGTTGTAATTTTGGATATTTAGTTGTAATTTTGGATATTTAGTTGTAATGGAAAGTTGAATGTCTGCAAGGTATTTAATTATTAATCAGTTTTTTTAAAATAATTACTTAAAATTTAACAGAATAGAACTGGAGAGATTTCCAGCATTTAACTTTTATTGATTAATTTAGAAAACAATTGTCAAAAGACAATGGGGCAAAGTATTTCTTTAAAAATAACCAGAGATAAAAAAACCTAATATCAGTGCCTAACAATTTTTAAAAATAATTAATTCTAAAATTAAAAAAAAATGAATAGTGTTTACACTGGTCAAAATTTTCTGTATTTGCTTAAAACGGGGGTCTCCAAACTTTTCAGCCCGAGGGCCGCATTAACTATCAAACAGCAGTTCGGGGGCCAACTACACACTCAAGGTCCAAATAAAAACGAATCAAAACATTGGGGATGACTTTAATTATTTATTTATTTATGTATTATCAATTCATTCAGTTATTATTTAATATCACATTGATACACGACACATGAACACATGTTTTAGTGGGAATAGGGAAACTGTTTCCTGAATGGCAAAATAGCAGAGATTTAGATTTGATGTCACAAACATTAACAGTGACTGAGATTATCAGGCTGCACACTCGGTAATTCACATATTTTGTTCTTGAAAATGTTTATTCACACAGGCATCTTGTTCCAAAGACTTTAAGGTACATTGATGCAAATGTTTTGAAATTAGGAAAGTCTTCCTTTGGCGAAAACTAGTTAAAAACCCACCGGTCCTTCTTTTAACTTGTCCCTAAAGAAGTTATTTGCTTGCAACTCAATGACCTCCAGGTGCAGTTCATCTGGGCGACTGGCCACATCTGCTTCAAATACGTTTTGAAAAAGTCTCACTTCTTCTGCCTTTAAATCCAAGTCAGAAAACGGCTGCTAACACTGCGCCTGGAGGTCTTTGATGATCTCTCATACAAATGACAGGGGAAACTCCACTGTTGCTTCAGCCATAACGACCGTCCACTGCTTAAAGTGTGTCAAGTTGTTGGCCTTACTAGTCCCAAAAAAAAACAAGACGAATTTGGATCTGAAGGCCTTTAGGTGGGTGTATAGATCAGAAAAATTATTTAAAATAAAAAAATATCCTCTCCTGGTAGCCAATGTTCCCTTTAAGCTGCGCGGCATCTCACAGAGACAGCGCAGCAGTTTTGAGTATCTGCGCAGCAAATTTTCATGCAAGTGTGTGTTTGTATTTGTGGGCTGTAAAATTTTGCACACAAAAAAATCGATGCTGTAAAACTTTGCACACAATTGTATGATTTTGCACACGAACCAGCAAACCTTAGAGGGAACATTGCTTGTAGTTTTAGGTTCAGAAAATTTAAATGACTAGTTACGTCTGCAGCAAAGAATAATTTCCGAACCCACTTTTCATCAGACACTAATGGCTGTGGCTTGCCTTTACTTTCCAGGAAGTCCCCTATTTCCTTTTTTAACTTAAATACTCTGTTCAGAACTTTCTCACAACTTAGCCATCTTATTGCTGTGTAATATGGTAAATCTTGCGATTCTGTGCCTGTATCTTTCAACAGGTCTCTGAACTCTTTATGGTTGAGCTCATGTGTACTTATTACAGTAATCCAATTTACCACAGGATTCAGTAGTCTGCTATTGTCCACATATTTAGTACACAAAGCTTTCTGTTGAATAATACAGTGCAGGAACATTGGTTGCATAATTTTTTTCTCATTACACATCTGCTTCACTTGTACAACCAAGCCTTTCTTTATGCTACTCATCTTATTTCCTCCGTCAACAGTCAGAGAACTGATGTGAGTCCAGTCCAAGTTATAATCAGCAAATGTTTTTTTCAACTCATTGAATATATCCTCTCCGGTAAAAGTGTTGTACAAGCTATGTAGGGAAGCCAGCTCTTGCGTTATGTTCATGTCTTCATCATCACCTCTAATGTATACAAGCAGTTGATAGGTGAAACAGTTGTCTAGCGATTCATCCATTACAATTAAAAATTGGCGAAACTTGCTTGCATTTTATTGCTATTTGAGTCACAATGTTTTCAACTATGTCTGCAACACGGCGGGCAAAGCTCCGCCATTAGATGGCGTTATATCATCTCATTGACTGTGAACGGAAGTAGAAAATCTAAGCAGCGAATAAGGTTTTGCCAAGTAATGATCAGTTAGAAAACATAACGCACTACTGTGCGCCTCTATTTTAATTCGGGAAAAACATAACGTCCACGTAAGCAGCGTCAGATCCTGGCAGGGTACACATAAATTTCGGTAATTTTTTCCGTAGACAAAACGTCTCCGCGGGCCACATGAGAGGTCAGATCCTGGCAGGATACACGTAAATTTCGGTAATTTTTCCGTAGACAAAACGTCGTAGTTAGGAGACCCCTGGCTTAAAACCATCTTTAAAGTTTTTTTTAAATTTCTAAAATTCCCAACAGTTTGAAAATGTATCTGGTAAAATTTTAGCATAATGATAGTACTTTCCAAAATCAATGTTTATTTTAAGTTTTTCTATATAGTTTATAATACGTTTTTTATTGTTACAGCACAGCTGGTCCCGTGCAATTCATTTTTATTATAAAAGATAAGTTATGCTTAAGTTCAAACCACTTATAGAATGTGATTTTTTTAACGCCATTAAAAATAATAACGACATCGTAACAAGACCTTTTGGAATTCATATTCTTGTGTAATTTTGAAACACACTCACTTAAACTCAGGAAAATTATATATAATATTGGTAATATGATTTAAATTCAAATCACGTTCATTAAACTTCCAGTTATTCTCTGTGATTGGTACTGTATATTGTTCAATTAACCAAGTCTGTATATAATTTGATGAGTATAATTTAAATAAGTTTCATTTCTCATTTCATACAACTCCTGTACTATTAACCTTGAAAGAACCACCAGTTGTACAATTGGCTTGTTACGATCTATAATTTTATTATACTATTTTAGTTTTCACTTTATACATGACATTCACATATACTTATATGTATAACTTATGTTTAAACTTTAAAAAATAATAATTTTGTGTACACATTTATTTCAAAGGATCTGTTCATTTTACAAGTTAATATCACAGTTGATCGAAGATTCTTGATATTTTATAGTAGAAAGTATAATAAGAAAAGACAGCGGGGGTTCTGTATGGAATAAACACATTTTAGTATTTTTAGAAAGAATTGCTTTAAATGTACAAGGAATAATGTACATTCTAAATTGTTTTTTTTCCGTATATTTTGGAGTTCATAGAAAGATAAAGACTAACATAGTTTTATATTGTGTTTATTTAGCATGGATTGGCTCCATGGTTTTTATACTTCCCAAGTTGAACAAAACAAATGTATGTTGCATGTTCTTCTGAGCTATTGAATAATAAATTCAGATTAATAAAAACTGATTTGTTATTTTGTTATAAAACACAGCCTTCTCCAGCTACCATTGACATACAAATAGTACATGATATTTACAAGACAAATCCATTGCTCCCCATAAGATTTAACACAATTTAACAAATTTGCATACTACAGCTGTGCCTCCCAACATATATACAAGTATATTTTTACAAATACTGGCATTTTAAAACACTGATCAGTATATAATGTAAATATCTTTTGATTGCTCAATACACCTGTCAGCATCTTAGAATGTGTACAACTTAGTATATTATTCAAACAAGGACCTACTGGTTGGTTATTTTGAGTTTCCACAGTACCAGTGAAGCAAGCCCAATAATTAAATTGGTTTGTCATCATTATTCTGATAGAGAGCAAACGATGTATTGATAGAGCAAAAAATAAAATTATTACATCTGGCAGCTTAAACATAAATGTAATTTATTTATTTTTTTTACACAAAAACATGTCACAAATTTGTGCAATATTCACTTTTGAGAGGATACAGAAGGAAAAGTCTGTTTATTAAAACACTATTACATTTGTTCCAAAACCAACCCTGACATGGTTGAATATTCCAAAGTTTTAAATTAAGAATGCTATAACTTTTGAATTAAGTTTTAATTCACACTATTTTAACTTCCAGAATTAAATGAAAATAAAATGAGCTGCATAGCTTTATCGAAAGTAAACCAGTACCACTAATAAACACCTGTAGCCTAAAAATAAAAAAAATTGACTAAAAGAAATGTAAAATTTAATGACATCATAATAGTCATCCACTGAGTAACATACTCGATATTATTTTGAAATTTAAAGACATATTGGGCACATTCAAAAACAGTTTGTCATACAGTTTAGTACCAACAATTATACTATAACATACAAATTACCACAAATATCTCTTTATTAATAATGCAACAGCCTAGATATTAACAAACGGCCATCATATATACCGGTACACATTTTTAGAACCCATAATCAAGTTTTATCATTTGATTATTTTAAACTAAAGTGATATTTACGCTCAATTATAATATTTTTTTCAAAATTTATTGCTGCTCAATTCAGTTGAAAAAGTCAGTGTCATAGAGTATGACAAATTCATATTTGTTGACACCCTTCCATCCCCAACAAATCCGAAACTTAACATGCCCCTCCCCCCCAAAATCAGGATATATGTAATATAGAAGAGTGTTAGAAAAGTTGGTTTGTTTTTTGTTTTTTTTAAAGTAAAGGAGGCAGTACTAAAAATATGTAAAATAAACTTGTACACCACTCTTAGACTGGGTTGGAAATAAAACAAGGAAAATAAAATACGCTTTTGTTTATGACTCTTAGACTGAAACAAGTAAAAAATAAAAACACTGCAAGACTATTTCAACCAGTTGCAATTCACTGCCATGAAATAAAAATCACAAAAAATTGTTGGGGTCAATTTAAATCCCACACAAATAATATTTGAATCCATTAAATATATCCTTATTAGTTTATAGCCCGCCAAACATTGGCAGCAGCAATGCGTGAACTTCCCATCTACTATAGTTACTTGACAAAGCGTGAACTCAAGCAACGCACATTTAAGAATCCCAATTTTGCTAAACCCCCCCCCCCCCCCCCCTTTTTTTCATGATATGTCACGGCACACTTTTTATTTCAATCTGACCCACATGAAGGGAAGGGAGGGTTTGCCTGCGTCTTCCTCTTGCTTACTCTGGCGTATCTATCTATAGCCTGTGTCTTGTTTGCCCTACTTCTTCTAGCGAATTATATATATCCTTATAATTATAATAATTACCTTGGACTCACTATATGAGTCAATGAATGTTATAATTAGTTTCAGTGGTGTTAAAATTTAAAAAAAACTGCTGCATTAACTTTAACATGTTATTTGAAAAGTAAAATATTATTTTTAAAAAAAACAAGTAATTCCTTGAGTTTATAGTACTAACAAAAGTAATAGTTACATTTTTTAGTGATGTGTATAAGATGATAAGGCTTGATGAACTCTCTTAACATAAAATATTATCTTCACTAACCATAACTTTACAATAAAGTTTCTTTAAATCAAAACTTACCATAGGCCAATCACACTCAAAATTATTGTCATTTTCAATTTAAAATGATTTTAAAAAAGATATGTATTGCAAGTGTTGCACAGACAATGAAGGTTATAACTTTTTGGTTGGTGAATTATATTACTTTTGGCTATGAGAATATGATAGTGCTTTAGATTAAATTTACATTTTAATGTGATAGAAATGTTTATGTTTAATTTGGAAATGACTTTTTAGCGTTGTCAAAGTAATTAAACTATAAATAATTTAGTCTAAATGTAAACTTGGAAAAAAAAAGACTGAACATTTATAATGTTTTTAAAAATAAATAAGTGATGTGCAGTTTCCAAACGACAGTACTAAAATAAAATTTCTTGCTTAAAGCTATCTCATAACTTTAACCTTTTCTTTTTCAATACATGTATGCATATGCATATACACACAATAAATTTCTTATAACTGGGTTATTAAAAGCCACATGATTTTTCTAAGCTGAACGGAACTTTATTCCCATTTGTACATCTATGTGTGAAACTATGAAAAATGTGCCTGGATAAATAACAGTCTACAACGTTTATTAAAAATATTACAATGTTGAAGACACAATTGTGAAACAGTTTGCAACAAAGAACTAGTGTACATCAGAGGAGCAGAAAATAATTCAGATTTCCCAAAGGAGTATCTCATAAAACTCTTTGCAGAGCTATACCATTGTTTTATCAATTAAGATAGTTTTATAATTGCATTAAATTCATGTGCTAATTTTTGTCAAGATAACAAAGAATAGTTGACCCAATCAAGGAATATCAAAACTAAATGCATAAAGTAAAAGACTACAATAAATCTTTGACGATTTGTACAAGGCCCTCATTCCACTAGGGCAGCCTAGTAAAAATGCTCAGTACTAGCCGAGTCGAAATTTCTATTTATGCTATGAAAACAATTTTATATTGTTCCTCTTCCATCAGCCTAATAAAAGTCAATTAACTACTGACAAATGTGAGGCATTTAGCTGGATATTATCTATAATTGTATTATATTTTACAGAATAAGAAACTTTTCACCATGTTCAGAAGTCACTTGGAACTGGCCAATATAAAGATTCAATATTTCAAAAAAACTAATCTTTCCTTCTTAGACATTCACGTTCTTTTAAAAACTGATGTCCTGTCAAAAAACATGTTAATACAAACAAATAAATTACCCATTTACAATCCTAAAAATACTGCGATTGCACTTAAAATTTTATAATACAACAACATACTTATTTAAAAACAGAACTCCCACACTTGATCCTCTATATACAGAAATAATCCTCTCACATTCACTCACTTTAACCCTCTCACAATCACTCATTTCAAGCAAACCACCACCGTAATAACATACTAACACTTGGAAATTAAGGTCAAGACTTGAGCAGCAAGTGCCTTGGTGCATCAGCAAACATATATTTGAGTTTGTAAGCTTCTGCTAATAACTCGCTGATTTCTTTATCCCGCCAGTGCAATGTGGGCAAGTTCTGAAGTAACATTAATATGCCCTGAAAGGAATAAAATTACAAAATCAACCGATGGCCCACATATTGCTATTTTTATATTTATTTATTAATGGGCCTGTCATTAACACATAATACTGAACTTTTTAACAAAGTGACAGCTTGTTTTCTATTTATATCTTAATCTTAAAGGGAGAGGTAGATAAAACGTGTTCTCTTTTTTTTTTTAAGACAAAAAACTCACCTGAAAATCATGTTCTCTTAGAGATTCTTCAGAAAACCTTTTGAGGAATGCGGCACAAACATACAAATGAAAATCAGCAAAACCATTTATCTCTGACTGATAAGTATCCCATAATCGAATGGTGCATCTTAAAGGGATTTCTCGCATGAGGAGATTGTTCATCCATCTGAAAGAAAACTGTAAGAATTCCACTCCTTGGCGCTCCAAATGGTTAAACAAGGGTACTGGAATGATAACATAAAGAAATCTTTTCATTGTAATTGTAATAATTATTTATAAAAAAAATCTTAAAAAACATTTTGAAAGTTTAAAAAATGTATTTCATTTAAAAATTTAATTATAACATTCCTATTCAAACTGGCAGCACTAAAAGCCTCGGTTAATCTATAAAAAAAAAGAATAAATTAATAAAATATATATTTTCATTTGAATACGTCTTATTCTCATTATTTTCTTTCTATTTGAAAAAGTTGCTTACCATCAATCCTTTTAATTAGCTCCCTTAGTGCATTGACCTTCATCTGGATTCCAGGTTGAGCAAATGTGTAGTTGTCCTGAATTCCATCCAAGAGTTTAGACATACACCAGAAACTGTCTGCCTCTATGAGGTCTCTAGTTTCCTGGGACAGTTCGGTCAGATCACAGTTTTCAACTTCTATATCTGTTACAGTACAGAAGTGAACATTTGTAAATATTGCTAAATAAAATAATATTTTTTTTTAAAAAATAAATAAATAAAGTTGAAAATTTGAATAAATAGCAACGGCCTAAGTAATAGCCAATCCTACATTTGTTAATTCATAACATGAAATGACAAACATTTGACATGTTTATGCATATCATAAGCTTATTGTTTTCAAAGGTGTAAGAACTTACCATTTTCAATGTATTCCGATAAAAAGACAACAAAAAAAGGTGTGACCAGGTCATTGATGCCTTGAACATACCCACTGGCTGGATGACGTATTGCCCATATATACAAAATACGTTCAAATATCTGATGAACAAATGTTGGTGACAATTAAGGTTAAGAAGTATCAATATATTATTTATTAAAATGAAGACTATTAGGTAATATGAGTATTCTAATTACTTGTTTCCCACCATATTATAATGCCGAGTCAAAGCAAGAAGTATCAAATTTTACTATGAAATTAAAGAGGAAAAAGTTAATCCCACAAGTGACAACAACTTTCTTTCAATGTGCCGAATGAATAAAACTTTGAAGTCAGATATTCATCGTGTTGTTTTATCATCAAACATCTCTCAACTTTGTTATTTTTTATACCTTACATTCATTACTCCATAATGCTAAAATTTTATAACCTATGCTTATGCACCAGAAATAACAAAAGCTTATGATTGCATCAGTGCCCCAGATGCTTTAGACATATCTACTACTCATTAATTCTAATCTGTCATAGCTAACTCACTAATTAATGGTACAAATCCACACATAACTGGTGAAGAATAATAAAACAAATAATACCAATTTGTCTCAAATTTATTTAGAATATTTTTTTAAATTCTCCCTTTTAAATTTCTTTGACATATTTTTGGATGTGGAGATGAAATTTAAATTTAACAAGATTAAGATAGGTTTTGAAGATTTTGTTAGCAATTTAAAAGAAATAAATTAATATCAATCAGAACAGCACATGCAGGGAACACAATGGCAATCTGTGCAAGATGCTCACTGAATTAATCAATATGCCAGGACTTCCACCATCACAAACATGCATAAGTTAGAACAGGACCACATCCAGCAATAGTAATAAAAGCAATGCACAGGTTGTGAACATAACAAGCTTTGTTTAAAAACAGCACAACTGAATATAGCTCAAGTGGTAATGTCTGAGAATCTTGATTTGAATAGTATATAGAAATCAGGTTTCTGGCTGACAAAACAGCAGTGAACTACATAAACTATGGGACAACTCATGCCATTACATAAAAGGCTTTCTATTATAAACTAATAAATAAACTAACGTATAAATTTTAAATGCAGGTAATAATGGTGATTAGAATTTGGACAGTAAGGCTTCCAAAAGTGAGACTGATAGGAATGCATTCAGAAGAATTTGAATATGTCATTCAGCTCTAAGTCATTGGTAATTTAAAGGATACAAGCCATGCTCTAATTATGCACAACAATTTTCTTAAATAAAATAATTTTACCAGTAGCACTAAGAAAGCAGCTTCAGTTTAATAATTACACTGTGTTAACCCTTTATGATCCAAACTATAACTACGAGTAAGCTTTTTTTTTTTTTAAATGTCCACTTTAAATAGCATGCATTTACTTTTTTTTTTGGTAAAAATCTATACTTGGCCCCACTCAGCACTGCTAGCTAAATCTTATATCAACCACTTCACACAAAAATGCAGATTGCAGGGCATGAGACTTTTTAATATGTTTTCAGAGAAGCATTTTCATAACTAACTTCTACAAAAAATTTTTTTAAGGAAAGTATGTTCTAACTCATAGAATGAGCGAGATTTTAAACAATCAGGTTCCCTGTTATTATAACTATAGCTGAATAGCTAAACACTATTTGGTGCTTAGTGCACAAATACAAATGGATTATCTGAGTCCTACCACCTTTACTAGTATTGTACACGTTTTCAAAATCTACTTCCAGGAATTATTTTACCTGTAATGCAGTTTGAAAATAAAAGTAATTCTCAATTGAAAGAAATAGCTGGACAAGGTATGTGTAAGCTTGAAACAGAAGACAGGACAATAAAAGAAGAACATTTCGGCTAAGAGCCTTCCTCAGCGGACAGGACAAATGAAGCAATGACAAGAAATAGAAAGCAGTTCAAAAACTTAAGTGCTTGCCATTGTTGTTGCCGGAAGTTGGGTTTTTCAAAACCAGGATGACATGCGTAATCTTGGTTTTGAAAAACTCAACTTCCAGCAATAACATTAATGGCAAACACTTTTTTTAAGAAAAAAAACTTTTTATTTCTTCATTTGCCCTGTCTGCTGAGCAAGGCTCTTAGCTGAAATGTTAAACTTTTATCGGTCTTTATATTTCAAGCTTACACATACCTTGTTCTGCTATTTTCTTCACACAGCTTGAATGCAGTCCTTCCTTTATTAATCTCATTAGTACCAAACTTCACACAGCTTTGCTCAGGTGTTAGATCAGTGTCTGCTGCCATGCACATTGTTAGTCAAGCCTTATTTTTAACCGTTCGTTAGTTACAGGTTAGGATAGGTTCACGTAGGTTTCTACCTGGGTTAAGTTGGCTATATGGGTACTGCAAGTACACACAGCGTACAGTTCTTACGTGAGAATACTTACTTCCTGGACCTCCTTCTCTTGAAACAAGTGTGCTAAGGTGGTCATGCGAGGGATATCTTTAAGTATCTGTAGAAACAGATTAAGTTATGGGGCTAGTACTTTTCATTACAAATACTTCTTTTTTTTTCCTCTCAAAATATATCTCCAGGTTTCATACAGAGATACCCAATTTAATTTTTTTGCATCTGCAGCTGGTGGTGGCCTCTAAAGACAGAGTAGGCATGCTCATGTAGCCAACCTACTTAGGACCTGGTTGCAAAAACAAAACAATTGTAACACCCTGAGGCATTAATGGGAACAGTTGCATGGGTTTAGTACTCTTCCAAGTACTGCACAGATCTGGGGTCTGGATATACACCTACTTGCCATATGCGTGACTGTACGGATATGTTAGTATAAAAGCATGGCATATGTTCACTGGTTAGCAAAGCAGATCAGCACATATATTTTGGGATGGATATAGGAAGGACACAGCACCTGGCAAGCATATTATGAAAAAACAAATGCACAGAAGAAGAAAATGAACGGTACACAGAGATTCCAGAACCTGAAAGATACTGATAATGCAAACCAACTAATGCAGAGTTCCATAACCTTTCAATCATTAATCAATCCGTTCATTTTATTCATGCCATCATAAATTGCTTAACATAAAATCTTTTTAAAAAAAATTATTATCAAATGGTTCTACTTCATAAAAGATCACATAGTTCATTCAAACTTTCAATTTTAAATGATATGTTGATTTTTATTTATGGCAAGCGAAGTTAAAAGTTCAATGATTTATTGTATGGTAACCAGCACATTTAGTAGCTGACAGTTCTCAATAATCCATTTTGAAATAAACATTCTTTTAATATTCAAATAGCATGTTTGTGTACCACTTCAATATGAATATGTATTAAAAATTAACTAAGACTGCATAAAAAACAACACACAACAACCAAGAACAGGCGTAGCAGCTTTAAGTAGACAAAAGCAAATGATAACATACAAAGACACAAAACACTTGCAACATATCCAAACTACAACCAATACAAACTTTTCTAGTGAACATGCAACATGCCTTCTTATTAGTAGTTGTGGGACTAGGGGAGGCATTCATGCTCAGCGTCACATGCTTTTTTGTTAGTGATTTAAGTTCGCTATTAATGCTGTTTTGTTTTTTTTTTATTGAAATTTAACAGGGGGTGAGATAGAGGATAATGCTGGAAAAGGAGCTTGACAGAGGAGATTATGAGCAGCAATGTGGTAAATGGGTTGCATGACCTTGACCTTAAAAAAAAGACAGAAGAAACTGCACAAGGGCAGAGCCTACTCACTTCCTGGACTATCAGCTGTTGAAAGATGGGGATTAAGGGGTTCATGCGGGGAATGTCGATGTGAATCTGAAATAGCCAAGCCAAATGTCAGCTCATTACAATAGATCAATAGTCAGGCAGAGTCAGTCACACTGGCTTGTAGCTGGCTGTCAGCAATTTCAAACTTGCATTTCATTAAAACTGTATTTAATTTCCAATAATGAATCCTTTTTATATTACAATATTCAGAAATGACTATCAATATTGAAAATTCACTTATCTTATTTTTTAAAATTAGGGTGATAGAATTTGTTTTGTATCAATTTAAAATGTTAAATTTATATGAATATGATATTTTTCTTTGCCAGTTCCACAAAACCTCTAATGCTCAGTTCACACTATCAAATTCCTTTCAAATTAGCTACAAATTTGCATCAAGTTTTTGTATGGAAGCACTATTTTGAGCACAGTTTCTTTTTTAGGAGAAAAATTAGAATTTGATCAAATAGTAATTTGAAAGTTGTGACAACGCTTCATACAAAAATCGCATCAAATATATGAAAGAAAATTTTGATGCGAATTTGACCGTGTGAACTGAGAAATAGTGATGGTACCAGTTTTGAAGTAAAAAAAAAAGTCAATGTAGTTCATGCCTAAACAATTATAATTGATAACTTTAACCCCCAAAAGGTAAAGTTTACAGCTTTGTTACTAAACTTTCTTTTAAAAACAAGTTTGTAAAAAAACAGACTAAAACATAGAGTAACATGATATGGAAAATTTTTCTAAAAAGATTAAAATCACATTATACAAGTTTCAATTTTAACAACTATAATGCCTCAATTCTAGCCTATTAATACATTAATAATATTTCACAAACACCTAGAGTAAAACATTAAAAAATGTTGTTTTTTACTGTTTGTGATAATTCTGACTTTGTCTCATTCCTGAAAATCAAAAACACAGCTAGGTTGTTTTAAAGCATAATTTATAATCATTCTGTAGTTCCATCTATCATAAGGAAAAAAAAAGTGATTCTACATAAATAATTAATAATTATAAATAGTTGATAAATTGATGATGTAAAGATGACAAATTTCTTTTCATACTTGTCTAAATGTTTCCTCATGAAGGTCCTGATATCTTGTATCGTAGTATTGCTCTATGTATCCAAAATACTCCTTACGTTTTCGTTCCAATGTTTCTTGCCTTCTGTCAGCTGCAGTTGGAAGGTAACCCTGTAATATCATTAGTTGACACAATATTAAACATTCAAGACATAAAAGATTTATTACAAGTGGTAAATTATAGCTATGAAGAGCACAAAAATTTATAAATACATTTATACGACTACTAAACGGACATTTATGTCTTTAAAAGAGTCAGAAATTAACAAGGTTGCACATAATGTTGTTATGTTATGGACAGATATGGGATGACAAGGCACCTTTACTCATATTAAGGCCTAATTACAGGGTGACAAGTATGGTGGCTAAAAATAACTGCTTTGAAGTGAAAAACAATCCAAAGCTACACTAGGCCATACTGAAGCAATGGAAATAGGTAACCAAAATAAAGAATTACTCACAGACAAAATTTTCCATGCAGTTGGACGGACAGACTTGGGAATTCCTGACCAGCATAATTTGCGTAGATCATCTATAGATCAGGAAAAGAAGCCAAAATTCTATATCAAAAACTTGTGTTCAGAGAGATCAAGGCAATAATTAAAATATGAAAAACAATAAACAATTGGATAAACAATAAAATTTAATTTTACAACCTACTCAGATCTAAAGATGGTTCAGCAAAAACAGCTTTGAATTTATCTATACGTGCTGCCTCGCGGTCAGGTGCTGCATTAGTGACATATCGGATCGAAGTCATTTTTGGTGGCTGATATCCACCACTATTTAGCCGTACTCCTAGCCCTGGGCCTCCATGGTGATGATGATGATGTGGAAATGACTGACTTTGAGATTGTGGGGAATTCAAACCTTAGATAAAAATAGCAAATTAATATAAACTAAGAAGAAAAAAAAAGAAAGAAAAATAAAAAGAATGTTGATGGTAGCTGCATTGGTTAAGGAAATGTGGTTGCACTAGGAATATTAAAAATTGATGGATTTTTTTAAAAAATCAATGTAAAGTTAGTACAGAATGATCAAATCAACATGTCTACTTCAATTTTGCTTTATATTTTACAAATTTAATAGAGTAATTAGATTTATCTTCTTTTTAAATTATGTATTAAACGTCATGGAACTCATTGGGCCTACCTTTAATGGTATGATTAGCGGTTTCTCCTTCCTGCTGCTTCTGTAAAGAATTAGCCTTTTTACTATGATTGTCAAGGACCACTTTTGCTGATGTATGGACATCTTTGAGCGATAATTTTAGGTTGGCCATTTGAATGAGGTCATCATCTCCATCATCCCAGGCATCAGATGTTTTATTTTCAAACTCGTGGAATGCATCATGTTTGATGTTCTTTCCTTTCTCATCTTTCTTTGGCTGCTTAGCTGATCTTTTTTCCAGAGATAAAATGTACACAAAGTTGGATGTAAAATTGTGTAAATTCAAAACCAATTTTTAAAAAAATACTATAATAGTATAAATAAGATTTTAGAGCCAAGGCAATAGCTATTGATTGTTGAAAGATTATTTACCATTTTTTTAAAGTGATTTATTGTAGTGGGTTTGTCATGACTCCTAAAGAGTTTCAGCTGTGATGAAAAATTTCCTTTAAGTACCTATATGACTTTAATGTGCAATTAGAAATTAAAAAACATTGTACAATTCTTTAATTCAACAATACAAGGCGCTATTTCCATGAATAATAGAACCATGTGTTTTAAACACTATTTAGGCTAATTTTATTGTAATTTTTGTGACTTATACAGTTCCATCAACATTCATGAATGGATGTGGATGGAATTTCAGCATTAATTTAACAAGTATGGGGAAAACTAAACTAATGTGCATATGTGTTTTTTCTTAATAACCCAAAATTTTTTAGCAGCAAAATATTTTGATATTAATATGAAGGTGCATCCGAAAAACATTGTTGCTCTAAGTCCAATGGGTTTGCAATGCAAAATTTAAGCCTACAATGAATTTGGGAGATGGAAAAAAAAATTTTTTAAAATATTTCTGACTTGAAACAAAAATTCATGTTTTAAAATTTTAAATTGACTTATAAAACAGATAAAATAAAAAAAACAGTAAAAATTAGCAGAAATACTTACATGCTAATATTAGATTGTGGAGGTGGATACTGAGCTCCATATACAGGCTTGATGCTAAAATTAAAACAATATTGATAATATATTATTTGATAAAATGCATGCCCCATAGAAGTACAAATGATATCAACGAACCCTTTATATTTCATCCTATTGTCCCATATCCCTCTTTCTTTTTTTTATACCACATACTTAAAATTATGTACCTCACAATGCAGACAAATACCTTACTGACACTAATTACTCTACAGGTTAAGAAAAGATGTTAGCGCCCTTTTACTTTTTACCCTTGCACCTAGACTGATGAAATAGCCATCATTAAAAGCGGATTCTTAATGCAATATTACAATATTAATATACAAATAAGTTGGGTTGGATGTAGGCCTAAACTACAATATAATATACTTTGTATTATATTATGTCTATACTACACCCATTATATATATATATAAAAATAAATAAATAAATATATATATACACACAAATAAATATTTATATAAATATAAACTAATATAGATCTATTAGTTGTAATAAAAGCTATTTTAATTTATCCCACCCCTCAAATCATTTACAATAGTATAATTACTATTATAATACTTTTACTAAGCCTATCTAAGTCTCAGTTAAAGACAAGTGCTTTTCAATCCCATGACAACCAACCCAAAAATTAAAACCACTGACATTTCATTAGCCAATAATAATTATTTATGTTATAAAACATTTTTTATTCAAATAAAACTTTGAAATGATTTATTGTTTGTTATATTAACTTAAATTTCCCATTTATATCCTGGATAACCAATTTAATGCACTATTAACTACCCAACGGCTGTTATAGATAATTGGAAATAAGCTGACAGCACAGAGGCCATGATGACAAATTAAATAGCCTAAAAATTACCTCTGGGACTTTCGTTTTTGAAGCCTACCCATGGTCTACACTCACAAATTTTGGATACCGGGTATGTTGTAAATAAACCTTTAAACTTAAGGAGCTGTTTTTTTGGCTAATTTGGAGAGATGTTGCCATGTCGTCAAGTGCGTGTTTATTATAGTTGCAGTGAATTAGGGTTCAGGTTAGGTTTAGGGATACATTTAGGGTTCAGGTTAGGTTTAGGGATACATTTAGGGTTCAGGTTAGGTTTAGGGATACATTTAGGGTTCAGGTTAGGTTTAGGGATACATTTAGTTTAGGTTTAGTGACAGAATTAACTGGTCGTGTCAACCAATATGGCGGCCATGTGGCCACATCTCTCCAAATTTACCGGTTTTTTTTTAAATGTGCAGATATTGTCCCACGATGGCCGCCATCTTGGTTGACACAACCAGTTCATTCTGTCACTAAACCTAAACTAAATGTATCCCTAAACCTAATCTGAACCCTAAATATAGGCCTATGCCCTAAACCTAACCCTAATTCACTTCAACTATAATAAAAATGCAAATCACGTCAGGGGACAATCTCTGCACATTAGCCGTTTTTTTTATAACAGAGTGTAGTTTGACAAAGAAATTACGATACCCGTTTTTCGGGTATTTCCGGGCGATACCAAAGTGCCTACTATAAAAAATACCGGCTATTTCAGATTTAACAGCCCACGACGACTTTGTTTTGGATTCACTCCCATTATTTTTTTGTATTTTTTTGTTAAAATAGTTACATTTTCGAAATTAAAATTTTATTGGTTGATTAATTATAATTGTAAAATTTTCATTGGTTGGCTCATTATCATATTTCTTTTGTCCCGCAATGTTTGATATCTTTGGGGTGCCTGTGGGGTGTGGAGATTTATTCATTTTGTGGCTATATTTTCCTTGGAACCTGAAATAAAGTGTGTAAAAGTGTATTTCATGAAACTGTAAGTTGGATTTTCATTAACTCTTCAGTTTATAATTATTTTTGAGGCCCTTTTTACGGCTAGTTTTTAGGGTTCAGGTTATGCTCAGGGATCAATTTAGGGTTAGGGTTAGGCATAGGGATCGATTTAGGGTTAGGGATCGATTTAGGGTTAGGGTTAGACATAGGGCTCGATTTAGGGTTAGGGTTAGGCATAGATTTAGGGTTAGGCATAGGGATCAATTTCCGACAATTTTTTCATACATTTTTTAATTTTTCTTCTAAATTTTAGCAAATGTGAATTATTTTATTTTTCCATGGCCGCCATCTTGGTTGCCTCGACCCGTGCACACATAAAAGTGCGCGGGTCGAGGCAACCAAGATGGCGGCCATGGAAATAGACTTGGGCCGCTTTCTCTGAATTTACCAAAATACCAAACGAATTTGAACTTTAAAAATAATTCATAGCTCACAAAGTACTAATGCTAGAAAGGTAATTCTGGTTTATTTTTTTGCTATGAAATTTTCTCTATTTAACCATAACATTTTTATTTTTTTTACAAAATTACAATCATTAGTTTTAGTCATTAGTCTTAATCTTAGTCAGTCAGCAAGTGAACGAAAATAGCTTTTTTTAAGTTAAAGTTAGACAACCCTGCCCAACATTCCTATTAATAAATTCGTAATCATGACCAATTTTATTAGGGTAATAACCATATCTTTTTAAAAATTATTATTTATCAACCAATAGCTTCTCTCTCTGATAAACAAAACTTTTAGTTCGATGTCGTCGACGTTATTTGTTGTTAATTATCCCACCTTCCGGGTACACTCGAATTCTTTTTCCAAAAGCCTGCTTTACTATCTCTGGATGACCCTGAGCTCAGAGACGCCATCTGCTTGTAACTAGCTTAATATTGGTACCCAGACTATTTGATTTTCAAGAAATTATCCATAACACTTAAAATGTCATATATTTTTTTAATATATTATGTTTTTATTCCAGTTCTAAGGGGCAGGAGTTATAGTCCATCATTTTGTTGACAACATGGCCGGTTGTGATATACGCATGCGCGGTGACCTTTTAACAATACCAATTGAGTGATAAACACAATTTCTAAAACATTATTATTCGTCAGATCTTATGAAAAATAAATTAAGCTCTGAAATGTGATTAATTACTTAATGTATTTTTTTTTTAAACTTCATAATATTAGTAAATTAAATCCGTATTTTATATTTAGAGTTTATTATTTAAAAATCTAAAGAAATATCTCCATGTCCATGTCGCGGCCTATATTGATGAAAAATAAAGCAATAAATTATTTTAAAAAATAATGGAATCATTAACCTAAGAATGAACATATATTTATTTTAAAAGCAAATTAAAAAAAAACATTACTTACTTTAATAGTAATTACTCGTTAAAGAATTTAATGTTTCATGATATATACTTGAACACGAATGAGGCTATATTATTTAAGTTAAGTTAAATTTCAAAGGACTTTTTGGGATAGTTTCCTGAAATTGATTGTGATGAACAATGCTTAAATCAATGAAATTAACAATTTATCTATATATTTTTCCTGCCTTAGAAAGATTTTTAAAAAAGAATTTTAAAAAATTTAAACTATTTTTGGCTTCTTTGTAGTGAGACTGCCTGCCCAGTAGGTGAAAATGGCTGAATTGTTGTTAGACTCAAACATAAGGGTATGGGTATTTTTGCCCATTGTCTTAATAACGTTCCTGATTGGTATTTTAAGACACTACGTAACAATTTTACTATCTACAGAGAAAAAGTCAGAATTAAGACAGGTATCAGATAGGTAAGCTCTATGTAAGATTTATATTTTATTATTTGGCTAGGTCTATGACTATGTCGACTATGTCATGTCAATGTCTATTGACATTGACTTTTGCAGCCACTTTTTTGCTCTGATCTGGCTGACTTGGAAGTGTTGAAATTTTCAAAATATTTCTAAGAATATAAATAATAAATAAATAACGCCTTACCATTGACATTGTTGGGACAGTAAGACTAAATAAAAGATTTCTACCCCCATATTCCCAAGCATACAAATATCAAAAGGTGAATGATTCAATGTTCCTATTCAGCCTATTGAATAGTTTTAGATACTTTGGTCAAAAGTTTAAACATTTTGTAAAAATAAACCAATGGCATAGTTGAATAGAGCAAATTTTTAACAGAATTATAACACCAAAATCATATTTTTAGCTGTTGTAGTTATAAAGTTATGAATTTTTAAAGTACCACTTGGTTTGGAGTTTGTCATTTTTTAACATGGACTGCATCTCCAAACTCTGTGATACCATTCCGCTGATCGCGTGATGCGCAATGACTAAATAGTTTATATAAGGCAACCCCATCCCCTTATCACTAAAATACAATTTAGGGTCGACTTATTTTAAACTTTCAACTTTGGCACATGAATAATTAATTAAAGCTTTCCCTGACCAATGGTTTAATAGTTTTTGCACAAGGCAAACTCTTATGAATGAAAATCTGAGACAGTACTACGATATAGCCGTTAAGCAAGTGGCTATGAATGGTTGCCAATGACAACGTGTTGCACACGGAAAATTCTGATCATTTATCATATGGACTCGACAGGGTTTTTAAACCTCAAATTAAAACATTCCAGTTTAAATGTCTTCAAAATGCATTCTGAAACACAAGTTATCAAGTATTTTGATGTATATAGTGGTAAAAATTACATATTTCCTAAGTATCTGCAACTTCCGCCATGTCGAAATTAGGCCGAGCAACGCTATGGTGATATGAGTCACTTGGACAAGCGTAACAAATGTCGGACACGACCTACATCAATGAGAATCGGCACACGTATACTTCAATATCTAATGCTTTACACGATTTAATATGAAAGACATGTTCCTTTTATTTCACAAAAAATTTTGTATGCGAAGATGCCTTATATATACTAAAGATTTTCAAAAAAAAAAGGTCAATTGAAAAAAGCAAAATAGCTAGATGGAAATGTAGACCAAGATGTCTTCTAAATTATAACGCCGTAAACGGAACTCAAATATATGTAGAAAGTACTCATTTAATAATAAATAGACACACACATCGTAAAATTAAAAACTCAGATTTTTCGGCGCCGACGCCCATTTCCGATACACAAAAAGTAGTAGTGTCCCTTGTTTCATCGAAGTACTTAGTGTGATTACATTCCTGTTCTTTACTTAACCTTACTCATGTCATAAACAATACAGTTAATATAAAGTAAATTTAAAAGTACTTCCATTAATTTGTATTAAAATTCAATTGAAACGTTTCAAGCGCAAACGAAAAAATATCCTTGCTGATACCCCAAGACCCAACACCGGTGAAAGAAGCGTGCGAAAGGTGCTGTATTTTGACTAGCCTAGTTGAAAATCGGAACAACCGCACGCCGTATGTTAAAATTTCTGTAACAAAAGGGAGACTACTCCTTAAATTGCATTTGGAATGATCTTCTAGGGAGTGGGGGCCACCCCCCCCCCCCTTTACTTTAAATACCAAAATTAGAAACAAAGAAGTCCTCTCCCCTCCCCAGAACCCCTCCCCCAATTTCAAAAAGAAAACAAAAAACTCGCAGTATGTGAATACAAACATTCAACATTGAAATCTTCTTAGTACGGCGCTGTAGATGGAAGTTGACTTGGAAAAACCTATGAGGAACACATCGCCGGCCTTACCGCTAATCCAAAATCAACAGAATTTTCTTACTCTATCTCAGTCTCATTCTGTAGGTACTTCGGTAAAGCCAGGGAAACTTCTAAAAATTTTTATGGGAAATGGGCATTGACGCAGAAGAATCCAGGTTTTTAATTTTTGGGGGGTTGGTGCTTTCCCATTAATAAAAGGATTATTTTGTCAAAATTTTGGTATCCTTCCACATGTCCATGAAAGAGGACATCTTGACCTACATTTCAACGTACTGTTTTGCCTTTTTTGATCGACCTTAGTTTTGTAAATTCATAGGTATATGTAAGGCATCTTTCCATAGAGTTTTTAAAATGAAATTCAAAATAAAGGTCTTTTATATTTAATAATGAAAAGCATTATATATTGATCTATATGTGTGCCCATTCTCATTGATGTAGATTGTGTCAGACGCTCGTTATCCTTGTCCCTGTAACCTGCATTACCTTAAGGTCACTCAGCCTAATTTTGACATGGTGTGTGCCATGTCCCCTGTTATATATAGGCGTTCTATTTTACTCTCATTTTATCCTATTCTGGTGAATGACCTTAAGCTGACCCCAATTGGCCTGCGTTAGTATTGGGCATGTCTTACTCCCTTTGATCTTCTTTACCACAAACCAATCTATTGTCTGTTTCTAGACTCGAATGAGGTAGAACACTATAGAATGTTAGAGTCACTGTTACGATGCGTATTCTGACTTCGAAGCTTCTATTGAATAGACTATAAATACAGGCTAGTGGCACGCATACCAGAGCAGTGACGCAGACGGCGAGAGAGGGTTATTTTGGAACGTGTGAGAGTTTGTTTACAGTTGACTTCTTTTCATTATTTGTACCTTTTGCACATTGTGTTTTATTCGACATCGCACTGGTACCAGCCACACAATATACTGTAAGTTAATAGTTTTTAATTCTATTTCTTTTTTGAATTGTGTAATTAATTATTAACTTAATAAAAGTTATTGATTGTCAATAGCCCTGTTTCGAGTATCGTATTCTTTGTTATTGTTTTTATCATTGGGTATCGTCTTTTGTTATGTACTGTTTTGGAACGAGCCATACATGTATGTAACTAGGAGATTAATCCATACTGACACTAGTGCGTAACACCCATTTTTAATGGCGGAAGATGTCAATACTTTGAAAATATTTAATTATTACCACTATTTACATCAAAATAATTGATAACTTATGTGTAACGGACTATGTTTTCACATAAAAACAGAGAGGTAGCATGAGTGAACAGTGAATTGTGTTGACCATGTATTTTGAGATGCAAATGTGAACTCCACGTTTTTGGAGAGTAAAATTATGTTTTTGTCAGAGCGGTTGTTTTCCACGCTTTGCTGATAATAAAGTATGAGTTGACTGA